GACAGGTGTTTTGGGATAAACAATTTGAAATTCTCAAAAACTACTTGACCAATCGACTCTAATTTTGTTGTGGTCATTCAGAAGTACGATTCCTACGGATTTGAAGAATTTCAAGTAGTTGCGTGAAATTGTCGTCGCATTAGCAACAAATGCCAAAACCTGCATTTTGCCTCGGTTTTCGGCCATAACATTTTTACTGTTAGTAGGATGTTTTTACGTGTGATCTCATTCTGCAGGTCTCACAAATACCTAAAAATCTAATTGGAATAGTTTTTTCGTTCCTGCCAACACTTTCGATTGAATCCCAAGAAACACGTTTTCTCATTCTTTGTTGTCGAATAAAAGGTTTTCACACAGAACTTGGTGTACCCATTTTATGCGCCCATGTTTTAAATTCCTCGTTGAATAACTTGCATCAATAAAACCATACTTTTCAATTATTTCGCAAACCAGTGGTATTTTCGTCTAATATGATTAGACTAATAGCAAACAAACGTGGAATCAACTATACTGATTGTGTTACGCTTTTCTCGCTTTTTAGACTTCATTGAACACACAACCTCTATATTTGCACACTAAAAACTACCTAGTCTGCAATATGACATTTCCCGAAATCCAAATCTTTATTTTCAAAAATCCTGATAATATTACCCATCACTCTTCAATTCACTGAGTGGAAATATTTTCTTTTGGCAGTATGTTCACTAAAAAATCAAGAACCAATTATTTAGTCTATTCGAATGTTACTTTGTCCTTGAATTGTTTTCGAAAAACGCCTTCGTTTCGAAGGTACAGGGTGAAGAAAAATTTTGAATACTTAATGTATCGCAACCCTTCAATCTTATATTTGTGTTCTTATCACGTGATTGTAACTTTATTCGATATTAGGATAATTGATAAACAGGGTGGTAGAACAAGAGTACATAGTAAAAATTAAGGTTTAAAAAACCCAAAAGTATTTTTTTTCTTTATGGAACCACCTCTATTTTTAATTTTCACTATAAAACAAAGAAGATATAGCTTTGTGTAAGGTTGTCGCAACATAGTGGTTTCTGAAATATTTGGAAATTTTTCTTTTGCAAAAATGCTCCGTAAGGACAAGGATACAAATATAGGAAAATAGGGTGATTATGTATTCTCTAACGGCAATTTTTCGTCATATTTTCACAAGTTATTGGCAGTAGCGCATCGTTAGTAACATGACCTCCACGGACTGCGTAGAGGTACAAGGGGTATTCTCCATGTGCGTGCTAACCAGCTTTCGAAAGGTGTAAATATGTTATAGGTAACTATTTTATTTATATTCATTTATTTAACCAGATATTAGAAAACATGAGTACCGTACAATGAAAACAAACTACGGAAATAGTACGAGCGTACTTTTTTGACATGAAACAGCGTTGATAGCCGTTCGCATGCCGAAACGCTAGAACTGTTCCAACCGCCTTTCGTCCCGAAGTGTAAGAGTAAGACCTTCAATAACGTAGTACCTGTATATTCATGCTATATCTACTTGTTGCAGGGACTAGAGCAGTTTGCTGAAATGTAAGTGCACTTAGGGTTTTCGTATTGGTGTAGGGTTTTCAGCCGAACAGAGCGAGAGGTGTGAGATTGATAAACCTACTGGTTGTATAAGGTCCAACTCCCTTATTCAACCGGTTTGTTAGTGTGAATTGAGACATTTTGCGAAAGAGGTTGACTAGCCCTTTTATCCTCGGTAGGCTGTCGATTATGTCTTGAATTTATCGGGGCATTGCACATAGCTTCGAGAAAATTTAGGTCCATGAGCGACAGGATAGAATTGGAAGGGGCATCTTCAATGTTCCTTCGGTTTCTACACTACCTTAGGATAGCTGGACACAACAAGCGATGAAAGGGCGGAGGGCTTTTTTGGTCTGTAGAACCATTGTCTTTTTCGGGGTTGGAAGAAGACTTTGGGGAGCCGGATCTTGACTTGTAAGATCGATCGACTTCATCGATCTATCTCGCTTGTCGCTACTGACTTATTTGGCCCAATGCGAAGAGCGAGCATGGTTGACAAATGTGGCGGACGACTCTTCAAACTGCCCTTGCCAGACAGGGTGCCCCATTTTGATAGTTAGGGATCACTAGGAAAAAGCGTCAGTTCAGTTGAATAGTTAGGAAAAATAAAACGGTTCCAAACCTTAAAAGTACAGAGAATCGGAATTGTCATATAATACATAAGCTTCAAGAAAAAGGTTTACCTCAGACAACGCCAATCAAGTGGTCGGGAGTAGCGAGTAGTTAGGGAAATGTTAGGGAATTTTGTTTCGGCACTCTGCGAAGTAGGGGCACGTCGAGGGATGCGGACAACTCTCCACCATGCTCTTGCTGAGAAAAAGCAGGGGCACAGGGATAAGAGCAGTTTGCTGAAATGTAAGTACGTTTAGGGTTTTCTTATTGGTGTAGGGTTTTCAGCCGAACAGAGCGAGAGGTGTGAGATTGATAAACCTACTGGTTGTATAAGGTCCAACTCCCTTATTCAACCGGTTTGTTAGTGTGAATTGAGACATTTTGCGAAAGAGGTTGACTAGCCCTTTTATCCTCGGTAGGCTGTCGATTATGTCTTGAATTTATCGGCGCATTGCACATAGCTTCGAGAAAATTTAGGTCCATGAGCGACAGGATAGAATTGGAAGGGGCATCTTCAATGTTCCTTCGGTTTCTACACTACCTTAGGATAGCTGGACACAACAAGCGATGAAAGGGCGGAGGGCTTTTTTGGTCTGTAGAACCATTGTCTTTTTCGGGGTTGGAAGAAGACTTTGGGGAGCCGGATCTTGACTTGTAAGATCGATCGACTTCATCGATCTATCTCGCTTGTCGCTACTGACTTATTTGGCCCAATGCGAAGAGCGAGCATGGTTGACAAATGTGGCGGACGACGCTTCAAACTGCCCTTGCCAGACAGGGAGCCCCATTTTGATAGTTAGGGATCACTAGAAAAAAGCATCAGTTCAGTTGAATAGTTAGGAAAAATAAAACGGTTGCAAACTTTAAAAGTAGTAAGAATCGGAATTGTCATATAATACATAAGCTTCAAGAACAAATTTTGCGTCAGAGAACTCCAATCAAGTGGTCGGGAGTAGCGAGTAGCCAGGGAAATGTTAGGGAATTTTGTTTGGGCACTCTGCGTTGTGGGGGCTCATCGATGGATACATACAACTCTTCATCATCCCCTTGCAGAGAGGGGAAAGTTAAGGAAGGCATTCCCCTGGGTCCATGGCCAAGCTGTTAAACAGGGATCCAGCATTTAAAAGAATAGAATACTGCTAAGTATCAATATATGTCTATTGTCTATGATTATTTATGCTTTAAACTCATAGCGCGTATTTTTCTTAGTCTTTTTGAGCTTTTAGGTGAGAGTGAGGACATTCTGTAGTTCGGGAATGGTGATGAACTGTGCTAAATATTGATGATAATGATATATTATAATTTTAAATTACATTTGTTATTTTTTATTTCTATTAGGTACATATCTTACGAACATCTATTTTTAGCTAAGATGTGATTGTACATTTCTTATTTTTACATATTTTACAGAACTGCTGTCCGAAAACGTTCAGGTTTCCTTTTAGAATCATAGCCCAAATATTTTTATCAAGCTTTGGAGGGAGGACACTCCCAATTTCAGAAATGACACAGTTATGAACACCCCCTAGTGTGATAAGCGTGATATAATGAACATTGATGATAATGACTTGTATAGGCAGCTGTTTCAAAAAATGTTCTGCCTGGATAGTTAGATGAAGGTTGATGGATAAAGGGAAAGGTCGTATTGGAACAATAGAAAAAAGTTAAGAAGATAAAGTCCCGATTTATAGTATGCTAAAATATATGAAGACACAAATCAAACAAACATCAACATTTTTACAGGGTAAGCATAGGCATCAAGAAGGTTGGGTTTCAACTTCACGAACCACTGAAGCCTAGATAGGTTGAGGATCTTGGAATCATTCCCACGAGATATATCTTCAAAACTTACTCTAAGAAGACTAAAAGATTTCCACTCAAACTATACTCATATTTATTCTATTATACATGAAATAAAGAATCAACCTACCTGATGTTTCAAAATAAGCAAAGGTATTATTTAGATGGGAGTACTTATGTGAACTATCTTTGTAGATAAACCTGTGGATAATAGTAGTATGGTCTTCTGTTAATATATTGACGAAGCTTTACGAAATACTTACAGCCAGGCTACAAGCGAAAGCTTCTAAAAATGTTCACGATTTTCATACAACTGTTGACGAAATTCAGTGACATATGTGGGAAGCTAGCATTCTGTGGACAAAAGTTATACTTCTTCACCCTCTTGAAGATGATTACAGGTTGTTGCAGAATGAACATAATTGAAATAATGAAGAGGTATTTTCATATGGTTAATCATTTTCGAAGAGATGTCTTGCAAAACACTTGGCTGACGTAAAATCGTCCAGTGTTTCTGAAGAATGAGATATATGAAAAGTTCAGGATTTATGTGTCCGTAGATGCTAAGTAACCAGATAAGAAGGTAGTACTGGTAGTAGTAGCAGTAGTAGTAGTTCTGGTAATGGTTAGTGATTGTAGGCTTGGTAGTAGATCATTACAGGTATGGTTTGTAAAACTTGGGTACTCACTCCAGGCTGTGGCCCCGCGATGGTCTCCAAAACTATATTTATTATTGTTTTTTAATTAAATTTGGTATTCACTATTTCTATTTTACTATCGACAGATAAAACACCACCTTTATTTATTGAAAAAATATATTTACAATTAAAATGGGTTACCACAATTCTTATTTTTAATAAGTATGTTATCTATTATTATTTATGCTTTAAGATCGCGGTGCAAGTGTTTTTCTTAGTTTGTTTCAGCTTTTAGGTGAGAATGAGAACATTCTGTATTTAAGGAATGGTGATGAACAATGACAAATATTGATGATAATGATATATTTATCATAATTTTAATTATATATTTACTATTTCCATTAGGTACATATTTTAGGAACATATATATGTTTAGCTAAGACGTAATTGCACATTTCTTATTTTTACGTATTTTACAGAACTGCTGTTCAAAAACTTTCAGGTTTTCTTTCAGAATCATAACTTAAATATTTTTATCAAGCTTTGGAGAGGGGACACCCTCAATTTCAGGCATGGAATACGTTGTAGACACTCCCGAGCGTGGTAAACGTGAGATAATGAATATTGATGATAATGATAATGATGTGTATAGGCAGCTGTTCCAAAAAATCTTCTGTCTGGATAGCTGGATGAATGTTTTGTTGGGCATACACGAGTCGGGTAAAGATAGATGTTGAATAGGAACAATAGAAACATCTTAAGAATCATGAAGGTCCCAATTTATAGTATCTGCAATACATGAAAACAGCAATCAAACGAACATCAAAATTTTTACAGGGTAAGCCTAGGAGAGTATGGCATCAAGAAGGTTGGTTTTGAACTTCGTGAACCACGGAAGTAGAGATAGAACTGTTGAGGATCTTGGAAACTTTCCCAAGAGATGTACTTTCTAAACTTACCCTAAGAAGACCAACAGCTTTCTACTCAAACTATACTTAAATAAATAAATACAGAGTCAACCTACTTGATATTTCAAAATGAGCAGATGTGTTATTATGGGAATACTTATGTGAACTCTCTTTGTAGATAAATATGTGGATAATAGCAGTAGGATCTGCTGTCAATATATTGATGAATTTTTACGAAATACAGCCAGGTTCCAAGCAAAAGCTTCTAAAAATGTTCACGATTTTCATACAATTTTTGAAGAAATTAAGAAGAGATTGAGGGACGCAATGAGGCCAAAAGTTATACGAAGATCAATTGAATTTATAATCGAAAGAATGAACAGGTATTTTTTACATAATCTTGAACTTATTTATGTTGCACTGGCATCTTACCGATAAGTCAATCTTATCAGGAAATATAACTTCTGAAACTTATTGCAAAAAGTATCGGCGCCATAGAAGAAAACTTTCACCAAATTTTATTTTTCTAACAACTTATCAGTCAGATTTCAGTGAACTAGAGGGGCGGTTTTACAGTAAGAACCAATTGCGTATCCTGTAGCGTGACTGTTCAGTCTCGGACACTTTTGACCAGCCTTTTGCCGTTATGAAAAACTCATGATCCATTAGTTTGGTTGGAGAATATCAATTAGATCTTTCCTTCAAGGATATTCAAACAAATTGGGTCACAGAGGAACTAGAAAGACAATTATTGTTAAATTTATATAGGGTCATTCCTTTATCATGCTTTTGTAATAAATTGTCATCGTCTTTGTGAAAACTTCCTCCCAGTTTATCATATGTCCTGTTTCCCATACATGTTCGCTTAGCGATGATTTTGAGGTCGCAACATTTTAGTCGAAGATGTGCATAATAATCAACAAGTCTGTTGCGACAACAGTTCTGGGTGGGTTTTCGCGTTCTTTTGGGAGGCTTTTGGCGTCTTCGGGACTATGGACGAGGGTAACGTATCTGGAATTGAAAAAAAAGACAAAAAACTCAGGCTGAACTATACTTTAGCGCATATCGCTATATATTTCATTTCTTATTTCAAATGGAAGATTAGGATGCAACTGGTACGAAAATATCATTTTTTTCTTTATGGAAGCCTCTGCTTGCTATTTTATAGAACTGCAAAGTTGCAGTTTGGATGGTAACACTGTGGTATAGAATACTGCTTTATAAGCTGCTTTTTTCTTGTTTACCCAAAATATACTAAGTGACATATAAATCCGAACACCCAGTTTAAATGGTTTTATTTTAATAAAATTTTGTATAAGTACTTAATGAAGCATAATGATAGAAATTTCAAAATGATTGCACTGCTTTAAAGCCCTTTGACCTTTAATAATGTGTTGCATCCACACATTATTAAGGCCATGGTAACAATGTGACATCATTATGTTGAAAGAAGTCTATTGTGACTCTTGCAACATGTGGTCGGGCATTATCTTGTTGGAAAGTTGGATCTGCCAGGGTGTCAAGATAGGGTAAAAGATGGGGTTCTAGAACTTCGTGGATATAACACTGCGCGTTCATGTTACCTCTGATGAAGATTAAAGGTGACCTGGAACCATAAGCTATAGCACTCCAAACCATAACTCCAACAGTGTGATGAACATATCTTTCAACAAAAAACTGTGGATTCCTCCTTTCACCACGTCTCCTTCTAACCCTGGCACGACCATCGTGCATGCCTAAACAAAATCGAGACTCGTCACTAAAGACAATACTGTTCCGTTCCTGATCCCAGAGTGACCGTTGTCTGCACCACTCAAGGCGATTACGTCGGTGTTCTCGAGTTGAAGGGAGGACCCGGGGTGGCCGGTATGAAAACAAGCCAAAACTTCTCATTCGTCGGTAAACACTTCGCATGCCAATAGGTCTTCCGTGTTCTGCAAACCATTCATTTGCAATGGACCTGGTAGTGGAGAAACGGTCCCTTAAGGCCAATAATCTTAGGCGGCGATCTTCACGGTCTGTTGTTCTACGGCGGCGTCCAGTGCCCCTTGCGCTGTGCGTACGGCCTTCTCGAAGCCATGCCTGACAAAACCTAACCACAGTGTCTACACTTCTTTGCACTCTAACTGCAATTGCCCGAAAAGAAAGTCCAGCTTCCCGCAGTCCCACTATACGGCCCCTATCAAACTCGCTAAGTTGACGAAATCGTACAGATCTCCGTACCCTAGGCATCGTAACCGATCGTAAAGGATATCGAGAACCAAAATCCGCCAACGTTGATTCTTTACTGCGGTTGAAATATTCATTTTTAGAGCGTTAGTGAATTAAAAAAAAGCAGTATAAAAACCGGAATGTCCAACTGATCAGGCTGAAAATTTTTTCACTTGTTATTTACAGTAAGATAAATACATTCACCAACTTTTATTAAAATAAAACCATTTAAACTGGGTGTTCGGATTTATATGTCACTTAGTATAATTCTCCGAGTTATATGAATATAACATACACTGTATATTACTGCGACAATATTCATCGCAATAATGCAATTTTGCATCATTTTTCTGATGCAAATAGATCATTGTCAAGCAGTCATTTCTTTTATTTCTGATAAATATTCCGATCACTACACCACCATCGCTATCATAATTTCTCCATCTATTATAGTTATAATTCATTTACTATTTGTTTGTACTATGAATGATTGAAAAATTTCATCTAATTTTCACTAAATATTGGAACAACTTTGCAAATAACCTCATTTTTTTATTGCCTACCTACATACCCCCAAAAAGGTACAATTTGGCGACATTGGACAGCAAAAAATGAACGTTATAAAATGGCCATTGAGAATTTTTTCTACTTACAATCATTTTTTATAAACGCAAAAACTTTGATCTCGTTGAAGATACGCTATAAGGTTAAGGAATTTCAAGAAGTCATTGAAAAATCACAACGCAACATCTCTACACAGTTTACCAAGTAAATACTATCAAAAACTTACCAAAACTCATACTCGCTTATCGCTATCCTGGGCTATGCTGGTTGTGCGAGGTGCCATCTAAAAATCTCAATGATTGTAGTAACACACTGCTTAGGAATATGAAAATGAAAACAAAAATTGTACTGAAGAATCACAGTTGTTACGGAGACGTTCACAATAAAGATTTTTTTCAACACAATCATGTGGTTTCTATTGCCGAGAGCAATATGGGGAATTATCATAAGTAATATCTTCAGGGCATCTAATTTTTTCGAAAAATATCGAAAAAATACGTTGCTAAGTATTATTTTAACAAGAATAATGAGTGCAACAAAAAGATTTTTTCACCTGCACGAATGTTTTTGTTAAAAAAATATTACTTTGCATTGTTTTTTGATTTTTTTCACAGAAAACAATTAGGTGCCCGAATGATATTTGACTAGACTATTTCATGGGTAACAGATTATTCTGCATACACATAGCTTACAAAATTATATATATATATATACTCGTATATAAAATCGGAAAAATTGTTTAGCGTCGTTTTCTGGTGTCTTATAAGACCATAATTACTTGTTATCAGTCAATTATTTTGCAATTTTTGGTGACAAGTTTTGCCGCGGGTAAACTGCTGACAGGTGCTGTCACACAATTTTTCCATCTAGAAACCATTTGTAATTCAAAATTGCGCGTTTGTATTTGGTAAAAATTAAGACGAGGGAAATAGTCGTCATGAAATCCGCAGGATAAGTTTCAGAAACACAAAACACAAAAACTGGTGCCACGGCTTGACTTGTGTTTGAATGTTTATGGTGGCTATGTTGAAAAATTAAAAAATTTTCATATTTTAGTTTGTGATACAATTTACATTCATAAATAAAATTTGTCTGACTGGATTACATAACGGTTCTTACTTAAAAAATGACCCTCATATAAACGGTACCTTCAATGTTTTTGTTTTTTTTAGGTTAATAACTGTGGCATGCTGGCGAATTTCGATTGTACAAATGAAGCCAGAATTGTGGAACAACTTGATTTTTCTTCACCTGATACAATTAATCTGAGCAGTGATTGCTGAGGTTTTCTAGGGGTTTCCCTCGCCCAAGTGCGAATGCAGTCACCAAAAAACCATATTCCCCTAATAAATAGTAGAGAAAATGAAAATCGTAGTTATGCTATTAATGATCATGTAATTTTATATCACATTAAATATATTTATATAGTAAAACTTTGTTTTTTTCATAAAAGAAACAGGCAAAAACATATTTTATCCTATTAAAGCCCTGCTCGTACAGACACCGACAGGTCACCGACCACCAGTGTTGCCAACCCCATACGAGAGTATATTGAGCTTGTATTTTTTATCTATCGTGGACCAAAATCAAAAAGTGGCAGTTTTGCATTGCTTAAGCAAATTCTTTTTGAGCGGTTGTGGTTCTAGTTGGCCTTGAGTAAAATGACAGAATTTCCATTCAAATTTTTCCAAATTCACTCGAGATCAACCAGAACCCCAACCGCTCAAAAAGAATTTGCTCCAAAGCAGATTTTACGTCGTATAATTCAATCTGGCAAGTGGTAGATTTTACTAAGACCGAGTTATTATATGGACTTCGACTTTATAGTAAACAAAACAGATGGCGAGATTTTCTTAAACCAATTACTGTAGAACTGAAGGCCCGAACTGAAAACATAAAAGATTTCTGGAAAACTGTAGATCTACAATTAGGACTGTATGGTTGGCAACCTTGCCGACCGCTGTACGAGAAAACCGAAAAATGAGAATTTATACAAGTGTAAAAGAGGCATTCTACCGCATAGACGCCGGGATAGTTGTCGAAGTATTTTTTATCACGAGTGATCTTGACATTTTCCGACTGAGTGGGCGCCAGATTCGGTTGCAGCGACCCAAAAAACGTTGTTGGGCTCACGTTCCCGACTGACCAATTTTTGGCACTTTTGGAACTATACTAAGTAAAAATTAAAATGCTAAAAATGCGATTCAAATGACCTCTATTGTACATATTTTGAGTCGCTAAAGTCATATCCGATGTCATTTCATGTATCTAATCCCGTTAAATATGTAGATCTAATAACTTAGCAAAAAGTTGCAAAACTGTACGTTTTTGCGACTTTAAGGTGCAAAAAATCCATTTTTATTATCGATGGCTACATGTGAGCGGAACTTTATACATTGAAGTACATATAGAATATGAGCATCGGGCCTTTATTTGGGGTGAAATTGGTAAGAAACTGTTTACTCTGGGCTACCCATGAATCCTAGCACTAAATTGCCATCAAATTCGGAATCTATGCACACAATTTACCTCGAGAACGAGCTTCCATCTAGATAATAGACTCGCAACAGTTTTTGAAGATTTTTTGACAAAGTGGAATTATCGCCATCAACTCGAAAACGTATTATAAGAACAGTTGGGTTCACATTATCGACTGACCTGTTTTTGCAATTTTACAACATAATACCCCTAAAAATTAAAATGCTTTGAGTGCGGTTCAAATGACCTCTATCGTACGTATTTTCGGTTGGCAAAGTCGACTCTGATGTTCTTATGTATATAATTCCGTTAGACATGTGTAGATCTAATTATTTAGCGAAAAATTGCAACACTGTGCGTTTTGAGGAAGGTCAGGCTACCGAAGTGCAATGATGCTTCAGGAGAATACTTTGAACAAAGATAAGTTAGTTTCCGAAAAATAGTTTTTATTTTTCGTGTATCTCAAAACATATAGCGTGGCCCTCGTATGACAAGGTAATTTGGGCTTTGGGGACCAAAAATAGAACATCATACATAGGACCGCATTTTAAGGGGGGTCATCTATGCAACATTTTTTCCTCGGGGACTTCATTAAAAAGATACGGAGTGTTGAAGTTTAAAAATCAAAATCAATTTTTTTAATATCTTCAAAATCGTTAACTGGAATGAACCAGAATGTATGGTATTGTATGTGGATTTACGTAAGTATTGTAAACATTCAAAAGTCTTGACTTAAAATTAGCGTGCACCAGTGGCGGAGATACAAGGGATTAGTGACATTATTTTTCCAAATAAAATAGTACTCCACTGTATTTTTTCCGAAACTCGCAGTTTTTTCAATTTTACCTTCAATTTGCTACAAATAATTACTTTTGTGTTTTTTCCTAGAGTGCATTGTTTTTTTGTTTCTTATTAATCGGGATCTTTTTACGTGTGGCCTCATTTTGTGGGTCTCATAAATACCTAAAAATTTTACTGGAAGAGTTTTTTTCGTTCTTCCCATCACTTTCGATTGAATCTTAGAAAGCACGTTTTCTCATTCTTTGGTGTTTGCCCACAAAAATTGGTGTACCTACCCATTTTATGCGTCCATGATTTAAATACTCGTTTTAATAACTTGTACCAATAAAACCAGACTTGAAAATTATTTCGCAAACCAGAGGTATTTTCTTCTAATGTGATCAGAGTAATACTTGCTGCATGCCTCCGCTCTCCTGGTTTCTGTTCAAAAAATATATCTGACGATCACCCTGTATAAAATGATTGCTCGCGCCATCTGTCTTTATTGACGTAGAGTCGACAAAAAAAATCTTATAGAAGTTAGTTTCCTATATAACTAACAGAGCTAGTATAATTTGCCTTGTGTAGGTGTCACCTATTTAATTGAAGTCTCAGTTGGTAGGTGGCGCTTCAAATAAGTGATGCTCCATCTAGTGTCTTATTTTGTAACTAATTTTGACGTAAATTAGCTATTACTTGGTAGATGTCGCCACATAGGTTTCAGTATGGCCATCTACCGATGATTAGCCTGACAAAATGGAACTGTCATATCTGTTAGATCCCTGCACTGTTGATGGATTAGTTCTAATAGTCCCACACAGATGGCGCATATGTCATATTACAGCTCCCTGTAGACTGTTTCTGGTTAATATTAATTTTCAACTGACAGGTGACTCTATAAAGGAGTGGGGGAAAGTTCCAAAAAAGTAGCTATCGAGGCGCCACCCTCGACTTCATTTCACAAAAATAAAAAATATCAGCATCTTGGGTAACAAGGTCATCAACATTAGCTTAACGAGAACGGAGTTTTCAATAATCGAGCGATTAAAGTAGTGTTGAGATGTGATTTTTTGTGAAAATAGTGCTATTACTCAACGGAACCACCGGTAAGTGCTGTAGAACCGCGTATTTCTTTGTAATAAACAAGGCTTTTGGTCACCGATAACGATTTTCCCCCTTAAAAGATTGTAAACTGGGCAAATCTGCTCTGGATTACAAAAGAATCGTGTCAATTTGCATAAATAAACAGCTGAAACACAGTGAAATGGTGCAGGAAGCCAGAAATCCGGATAAAAATCGAATGGTGCCTTCTGTCATTTGTGATTGTTTACGACTGATCTACATACGGAAAATACCGCCGAATTCAAAAATCGTTTTCTGCCCGTTGGTTTCGAGGAACGAATTACACATACAACTTTCGTAAATATCTTCAAGCTGTTACTTTCTTATCAGTAAAGCTGTATCCAAAGTAGATAAGGCCGAGGACGCTACCATTGAATTGCAATTGCATCATTGGTGGTCCACAGGGATCAATTATAGGGCAATTTTTATTTATCTTTAAGGTGGGAAGTAATGTTTATCTCACTGTGTTATTCTTGGAAATGGATTATTCTAACAATGTAGATGCATTTAAATAATGCATTAACCATGTACAGGTGGCAGGAAAAAATCTGTATGGATTTTAAGTTTGAAGCATAGCAACCAAACCTGAATAAACAGAATTTAGCAAAGAAAAAATCACAGTGCTTTTATTGTATTATTTGTACATTCCGTGCACCCTGTAAACTGCAGTAATGAAGCACTTTATGTTAGATAAGATCAAAATTGGTGTCAAACAGACACTGACAAATCCCAAAAACTAATTTCCAGAATTATTTTAAGTAAATTATATTAGCAAAAATTTATGCAAAACTGATATAAGAAACATTGAAGGTAGTCTTTCTCTTTTTTTTACGAACAAGCCCTTTCAAAAATACCAGAGGTTGGTTGTGTAAATTTTTTAAACCTTTTTTCTTCATTAAGGGGTAACATCACTGCAGTGGCCTAAATTTTGTGGAAGAAAGGGATATAAAATAACATTGGAAGGGGTTAGGACCTTTTTCACAATTATCTATACCCTATTTCATGAGTATCCATCATGGGACAATGACAGCTGGTTATCTAATAATATTCCAAAATTCCCCATATCAGCACAGGGCACATAATTAATTCTGAGGGATCGATGAACTCCAGGTAGACATACTGGTATTTTGTTGTGGTTCTTTGTGCGCTATAGATTCATTTTGTACATGCTAAAAAATCTTTTATTTAAAAAAGTTTCTTTGCATACAAAAGAAATGCTACAAGCACAATGGCTGCTAATGACCATGACTACATTTCAAGACAGGTACAAATAAAATAAGATAAACAGTTTTTGACTATATCAATTATATCTACTTTTTAGAACTTGAAACACCAAATGATCTTGAATGGCAATGAAACAGCCATACATTTAGTTCAGAATGTGTGGCAGTACATGACGAGATTATAGAGGTTCGATTCCCTCAATTAGGTCTGAATATTACTCAGGTAATTCTCACAAGGAATAAAATGGAAAAATGTAGGTTAAATGTACAACTATTGCAGGAAATCATGAAATGTACACAACTGGGGCAATGCAATGTTCATGAATACAGGCATGGGCCAACTGTTGAGAACTCTGCAAAAATCCAAACGAAACATACTGTACTTGTACATTTTATTGTCACATTTCAGACCCTCTTAAAAATATAATCCTGATATGTGAACAGCAGCTCTGAATACAGCCCCAAAATTTATTATTGCCAACATTACAAATTCACACATAGATGCACCTTTTGTGACCAGCTGTTCCCCTCAAAGTATGATGGATACTCGTGAAATAGGGTTTATTATGTTTTGACATCTACTGAGGTAAACAGCTGATCAGCAATGACATCTTTGTCGGTAATGTTGGATACAATGAATCCAGTGTAAATCTGGTAAAGCTCAGGACCCTATTCCAAGCAGTTGTTCAAATATTTAGATACTTTTAGTCACTGGGAACATTGACAATAAAATATATGTAGTACACATACAAAAAAGTTTGTTAGAAAATTTATTGATTACAAGGTAGAACAGACTGTGTTGTGCTATCCAGTAGCTGTAATTTTACTTGTAGAAATAATATAGACGTGTTTGCGGTCAGTTGTCTGTCATCAGTGTAACATTATTCAAATATGGCTGTTTCATCACCCTTTAAAACATATGGTGTTTCCAATTCTAAAGAGTAGAGATGATTATCATAGTCAAAAACTGATCTTACCTAATTCCTACCTGACTTGAAATGTAGTAATGATTATACCAGCCATGTTGCTTGTAGCATTTTTTTTAAATGCGAAGGAACTATTTAAATAAATGAGCTGCTAGCAAAATGAATCCATAACATACAAAAAACAACAGTATGAAAATACATTTATTTTATTTTACCATTGCAGATAATTCCAACCAATTGTGTATTACATTCATGCAAAATTGGCCCCACAGTTTTTCCTTCAAATTCTGGTCACTATACTCTTTCAGTTGCTTGTAAAAAGCAGATCTTTTTTTCACCTCGGTAATTATCCTTTCTGTGTCCAAGACACTATCTGGATGGTCATCCCTGGTGGACAATTCGTCACAGGCTCGAGCACGTTCAATCATGTCCATATGTGACTTATTTTGATTTGCGATAATCTCGTCGCTTCCTGGATAGAGCTGGCTTGCATCTTTTTAGCGGCGGCCGTATATGTGTATAACTGAAGTCATATGTTGGAGATGTAAAAATGTTGATTTTTGTGTGGTGGTAGGCTAGTACTTAACTTGGAACGTTCAGTTTTACATGAAAAAAGGAAATAATTGTCAAATAATGATTATATTAAAATCCCAGAAGTATTTCTCTTCAAAATGTTATCTTAAATACATATATTGAAAAACTGCAAATAAAAAAAGAAAAGAATGACAAAATTTTTGAGAGTTATATGCCTCTAAAATGTGATGCCCCCCAATTTTTCTCCCAAAAGTGTATTGGAAGATACACAATAAACCTTTAGTTGTAACCATGTGGGGCAGGGCATTTTGAAAAAGAGTTGATGAACTCTAGTTTATGGAACATTGACAGATGCAGAAATCAGGCTTGGTAACTTTACAGTTGTTGACTTTGAAATGATGATTATTAAGGAAATCGAGAAGACCTCAAAACATTATTTAAAAATTGTGGCTAGTTCAACCAATCCCTTTTTCAATTTTTGATTTCTGAATATCCTGAAAGCATATCAATAATTTTCTCAGAAATATATTCCTGTTGTGATAGAAAGTATCGGTTATTTGAAATTTTCCCGACATCTTGAAACATCCAAAAACATATCATGAACTGCTTTTGGAGCATAGAATGTAGAGAGGGTTTGAAGTTTTTGGAGCAATTAGGTGCCTCAATTATAAAAATGAATACAAAAATCTTTCAACATTAAATATTTTTGCAAACATATATAGCAAATACTCACTGGTCATAGAATGTAGTTGATTGATTTAATTTATCTTATGATTAAAACATTGATCTGCCTGGTGACTCAGAAATTGTAGATCATAATCTCCACAATGATTACACAAATTAGTCATTTCAAAAAACACTAAGTCATTTTTTTCAGCATGCTTTTTTGTTGCAAATGCTTCCTTAAGGTAGATGTGTATTTTGTTTAATGTATCTGTCATTACAATCCTTCTATTTCAAATAATCTAGATAGATGTTTGTTGCATAAACAACAATTGTATTTAACAGAGTAAAGAAAAATCTTCAGGTAAATTGTTGTTGGATGTGAAAAACAATATTCCATATTTTCCAAACCTTGCAAAAACTCGTCCCCATGATAATTGGGAAATTAAATATAAATATAATGCATTAACACAATCTGTACAAAGTAGAACATCCCTATTCCTTCTCCAGATAGCAAAACTTGTAGCCTAATTTTCAGTACTGCATCAGATTGTGAGCAATCTGTAGCTTGAAAAACAATGGCATGAATAAGTCTTGCGCCCGTTTGCTTGTATCTTCCAAAAAGAACGCCCCACTTAGTGGCGCACACTACTGAGAACAAATACGTCGACATCTCTTAACATTCAGCTGTACCTTATTTCACGAGTAACCATCACACTTTGACATCTACTGAGGTAAACAGCTGATCAGAAAGTGACATTTTTGTGTTAGTCTGCAACGTTGGCAATAATGAATCGGGTATGAATCTAGTAAAACTTGTTCGTGGGGTTTTGTTTTTTGTATGCAAATTAACTTTCCTAAATAAAATAGCTGTTAGCAAGTACAAAATGAATCTGTAGCGTACAAAAAAAAAATACGGCTCGGACTACCTGGCGTTGACAGATCCGTCAGAATTATGTGTCCTGTGCCGATATGGGGAATTTTGCGATATTACTAGATAATCAGCTGTAATTCTACCGTGATGGATACTCGTGCAGTAGGCTACATATAGCTAATGTCAGCTTCCATAACCTGGGAAGCAAGCATTTTCTCTGGTGCTAATTCTTGAAATGAGGGAGTACAATAACTGAGAGAAAGCGAGCATTCTCTCAGAATGTGAGATCATTCAAAAGAGAAGGGGATCACGCCCACTTTCTCCCAGTGATTCCACTTCCCTGTTTGCAAATGAATAGGGGCCCTGATGGTACAGCTATTTCTAGGAGAACATCATCTACAGCTTTGTTAATGTAACATCAGAAACTTTAGGATGATAATCCCCCTGTTTGGCTAAATCAAACCACATATGTTTAAGAATTCGTTAATGTACGACGTTTCGGTCCCAATAGTCTAGAGCTAGAGTCTACAAGTAAAATTGACACTTTTATGACTTAAGATATATTGTTAAAAATGTGTCAATTGTACTTGAAGAAGGTCATTATACTAAAACGTCGTACAATAAAATGAATTTTTAAATATATGTGGTTTGATTTCGGCCAGGTAAACAGTGGGATTATTCATCTTGATGTTTTATCTTTTACATCTCCTGCCTCTGTCACTTCTACTGTTCTATCATATAACCTTTCTACTTTTCAGATCAGGCGTATCCACAACCTACAATGCTCCTACCCACATAGATGGAGCGTGGAGCAGCTTTTTATTCAATTATTTTTATTTAAAACAATGTAAGACAATTAAAAAATGTCGGAGACGAGTTACGTAAACGAAATACCTCCTGTGGAGGACGGGTGCTCTAAGGAACTCAGACTGAACGGTGACTTGTGCACAGACACTGTCGAGACCCCTGAGGCTCTAGCCCCCAACAACAATGTTTGCGAAGTTGTGTCCCCAGACTGTTTGGACAGTGAGGCTAATGAAGCCAGTGAGGTCAATGAGTCGAAGAATGAGTGTGCAAGTAGTGTTAGTGCATGTGAGGAGAATGGCTCTATAGAGGAAGCCAGTTCAGTGGACTCCCAGTGCGAACCTGAACCAGAACCTGATCCATATGCTATGGAAGACGACGATGAAGGAAAGGTTCCCGAAGAAGGTGTTGAACACAGCAACGGTGTGATCAAGAAGTCTAGTAAGCGTAAGAAATTATCCAGCGGGCCTGGAAGGGGGCGACCTCGCAAGGAATTGGTTGCAATGTATCACAGTCAGATCAGTGGGGACAAGAACACAATCAAGATCAGGATCAAGAAGAATTTGACTCCTTTGACGCCCAACAAGAAAAAGGTAGGTTATTGTTCCAGAAGAACTTGATCCAGGATTAAGATAGACATACAGGGTGGCCAACATATAACTAAGTACTATGTTTTTTTCTTTACATTTAAAATTAAATGAAATAGATCTTTTTGATCTTAACATTTTATTGAAAGTTATGAGTTATGTTTGAAAAGTCATTTAGTATAAATACCCTTTTTTCAAGCAGCGCAGACCTGAGCCCTCTTGATTACATTTTCCATAACTTTTTGGTAGGTTTCGAAAGGAATATATTTGACTAGATTTTCACATATTCAACATTTGTTGTCATAAACCTTTTTTCAAAAATCCCTACAATTAAGTCAAGTGATCATGTGTGTCAGATGACATAAATAAAATGCTCTAAAGACGCGCATTGCAGAATATGCTCCATTTGAGATGAGAAACATATTCAAGTGGGCTCATGTTTCCAGAGAGAGAGATCATTTATGCGATATTATTTTTCATACATACTGTAACTCTTAACTTTCAATTACAGATAAAGATAAAAAACTGGTTTTATTCTATTTTGAATATATCACTTACGACCAGGTGTAAGGTAATCAGCTCGGTATTTTTCCAAGTAAGGTGTTGTTGAAAAAGGCCAAGGTAAGGTCTTTACTTTAAACAAGGAGTTTAATGGTGACCTTTGGCTTGACCTTGAGCTGCATCTATGAGGTTATTTCAAGGTCAACGTTTGTTTTTTAAAGGGAAGAACCCCTATTTGACACCGGAAGTCGAAAGCACGGAATATTCGACGTGCCAATATGTATTAGAATATAAGACCAGGGTCATCTCTCAACGTCAAAGAAAAGTAAAATGTGTGAAGTTCGGGAAAATTCCTAGAAGTTTGGTAAGATTATTGATGAACAAAATTATAATAGACAGATTTTTGATACTTTCAAGAATGATTTCAATGGTGACTGTGGGCTTAAGCTTGAACCTCACCTTCAAAGTCATTCCAACGTCAACTTCTTTAACTCCTCTTTGACATTGGCAATGGAAACTTTTACGTTATTTTATGTTGTGATAAACCTAAGCGGTTCAAAAATCAGATAAAAGTTTTTTAAGCTCAGCATAGCAGTCGCGGTACCACGGCATTTAGACTCCTGCCTGCGCGACTGCTTCGGTTTAAAAAAATATGTTTTTGACATTGAAGCTAAGGCTCAAGGTCAAATTGAAATCTTTGTTATTAAAAGTTCCTTCAGGTCCGACCTTTTTTTTTCATCAACAGTCTTATTAAAGGAATGTTCCTTAGCCTCTCGCATTAGACCTATAGAAGTGACCTTGAACTTGAATTTTAATACATATTCGGATGTAAAATTTTTCGTTATTTCTATTTAAAAATCAAACGTTGACCCTTGAAATAGCCTTGAAGATGTAATTAAGGTCAAATCCAAGGTGACCAATGAACTCTGTGTTCAAAGTTATTAAAAACCTGATCTCCACCTTTTCAAAAATGCACTACACAACTCATTCAAACGTCGGTATTTTTGTTTTATTTGCATGGTCTAATTATTATCAAATGTCTCATTCTTATAGTCCGGTAGACGGAAAAAACACCGACAGCAAACAGAGGACACCTATGAAGACGAAACTTCAGATTATGAGAAGCAGCGTCCAAAGCGCAGCAAGTCCTCAACAGTTGGTGGGGATGAAGAAAATAATGTATCCAGCACTCAAGAACAGGAGCCCCAAGAGCAGTCGGCATGGGGGGACATTGAAAAGATGCCTGAACACATCCTGGAGACCATTTTTGGATATGTCGTGGCTACTGAAGGCTCCTTGCCCCATTTGGTCAGGTGAGGATTATACGGAAACCTTATATCGAAATACTCCGATTGCATCTACCGGTAATACAGCGCAGGTTGCAGGCATTCGGTGGTGCCTCCGTTTTGGCTAGTTTTTTTTACAAAATCACTCGATCTCGATATATTAATGTTCTATGACGTCATACCATCTCTATACCCTATTTCACGTATATCCATCACGGTACAATTACAGCTGGTTGTCCGGTAATATTTCAAAATTCCCCATATCGGCAATAATTGTCAATCAACTTGGAGCAGAATTGATCTCTTGATTTTGTTTCCACCATCTTATTGATCCGCGTAAAAAATGAACATTTTCCTGGATGATTATATGACTATAATGTATACATTCACAATCACCAAATTGTTTAGTATTTATTATGCGAAAACCACAAGGAAAGAGAATCAAATTAAATTTGCTCAGAAATGAATGTGAATTGTTAAAATACGAGAAAAGTTAGTAGCGTACCATATTTTTCTTTAAAACAATCCTCATGGACGGGCCTGGAAGGATTAAAGAAAAGTTTGTACATCGGAAAATGCATAAATTTCATTAAAATCTACAGGTATCATAAATGTTACAAAAGATAAAAAACATATCCTTTTGAAAAGTTTACCACCCTGTACCTCAAAATTTGATGAAAAAGATGTTAATGAATATTTTTTTAATTGACCAAAAAATCACCCCATTAGATATTTGATCTTACTTTTGACTATGTATAACGTTTAAAGATATACATACGTCGTAATGTGCACGAGAGAGAAGCGCGGGAAGCGTGCACTGCGTTTGTTAGAAAGAGATAGAAGTACCTCGTTGCCTAGCAACCCGAGTGACGAGGCCACGGACGCAGCCGCGGCTTGCCGCGTTGCTATCGGCGCACTCTTTCTAACATACGGATTGCACGCTTCTCGCGCTTTTCTCTCGTACACATTACCCCGTCAGTGATATTTGTATTTCTCTGTATATATTCACAATATAATAATTAGTGGTCGTCCTGTTCGAACAGATTCAGCAAAGTGTGCAAGATGTGGAGAGACGTTTCCTTAAAGCCATCATTGTGGTCAAAGACTGATCTGAACTTTGTGAAGGAAAAAGCAAGAACCGACCTCAGGTTACACTGGTTGATTGTAAACAGACTTGTGGAGTGTCAAGATCTCAACATGGGTAAGATAAATTGTTGTGTCTTTCTGAAAGAGTAGTTGAGTGAAGGCACAAAACTGAAATTATGCAGTTTTCATTGACCATCATTCTAAAAATATGTTTGTAAAAATATAATGAAGCCAGATAAGATAAAGATAAATGTTTTTTTGGTTCAGGTGAATGGAAAGTGCGTGATATCCAAACATTTCTGGAGGCATTGTGTGAACATTGCAAGAAGGTGAAAGGTTTAAACCTAAGTGGTTGGAAAGGAATAACTCCTGACCACTTGAAGTACCTCACTACTGAATGCAAGCAGCTTGAAAGGCTAGACCTGTCCTTTATTAATGTAAGTATTGATATTCGATATTTTGTCGATGAAATATGGTAAACATCCTAGTTTATCAAAAGTGTTACACTAAAAAATCTGTAACTCTTCATGTTCACGTTTCAGTCCACTTCTCCAATCAACGCGCAGCCCCTGGTAAATCTGAGTCAAACCATGGCTTCCCGACTCACCCACCTGGTATTAGCGCACAACAAAATCGCAAATTTGACGCAGATTATGACCGCAATATCGGTAAGTAGTAGCGCAGGATATACTTTACTACACAGCGACGCATTACTAAAAATTATTTCTTGAGCGAATTTTTATGGGCTAAGGAACCTGACACAACGCTATCGTGAAGTATGGCTTAGGCAGTACAGTCGTCCTTGTGTGTAAAATTTCTGAGGAAGTTTGTTGCAAATGCAGGTTTTTTGACATCAGCAAGTACGCATTGTACAGGGTGGCCCATAAGTCCTTTGAGCTGGAAAAAAAGGAATAAAACCAAACTAGTTACATTATGAAGAATTATTATATTTTGTTATCATCTTTATTGAATGGGAATTATGTTTTAAAAATCACATTGTCTAAATGCAATCCATTACGATCACGGCACTCATATAAACGACGTCTAAAATTGTCGATGACTGCGCGGCAAGTCAACACTGTAATGCTTGCCATTTCTCTTCGGATATTTTCTTTCAAGACATCAACTGATCGCGGAGTGGTGTCGTACACTTTACTCTTGAGGTAGCCCCATAAAAAGAAGTCCATTGGGGTCAAATCTGGACTACGTGGTGGCCAGGAAATGTCTCCTCTTCGAGAAATTACTTTGCTGGGAAAAAGTTGACAGACGACGGGCATAGAAGTGTTGGAGGTGTGGGCAGTTGCTCCGTCCTGTTGAAACCAGGTCTGCGTATTATAGCCTGGAAAATTCTGCAACGCTGGTGTCAAAAACTCTTCTATCATTGCTACATACCGCTCCGAAGTAACAGTTAATGCGCGACATCTGTCGTCCTCAAAAAAATAAGGGCCTACGATGCCATGCGCTGACATAGCAGCCCAAACTGTAACTGTGTAAGGGCTTCTGATGCTTACGCCTTGGATTTTCGGGGCTCCAATAACTGCAATTTTGTTTATTTACATGCCCGTTTAAATGGAAGTGAGCCTCGTCCGAGAACAACACATTATTGAGCGAAGAAAATCGATTCAACATTTCATTCGCAAAGTTTAGTCTCTGAATAGCGTCATTATCTTTTAATTCCTGCACTAACTGAATTTTGTAAGCGTGCAGACGTGAATCTTTCCTTAAAATCAGCTGTAAAGATGTTCTGGGTACGTTTAGTGCCTGGAACGCTTACGAGTAGACTGGGTAGGATTTTGACGAACAGACTGTGCCACAATGTTGATGTTTTCTTCAATACGAGTTGTCTTTGGTCGACCCCACCGCTGTTTATCTAACGTCGAACCAGTCTCTTCGAACTTAGCAACCCAGTTCTTAATCGTTTGAGCTGTTGGACACTTTGTAAAATTGTGTAAATTGTGGTATTCTTGATATTTACGCCGCGCAATGGTTGCCGAATCATTATTTTGATAAAACGCGCGCACACAAAAAGCACGATCCGCTCCAGTGAAACACTCCATGGCGACTGAATTCCCAGACACTGAAGATACTGCCCCCACCTCGCCCGCGCCGCTCACGCTCACCCGTTAAATTTTATTCAAATTTGAAATTTCAAAGGACTTATGGACCACCCTGTAGTATTTTCTCTTATCAGAAAGGCTGAGGTATTTCTAGTTTTATACTGTTCCGTATCAGCGTCAACACTTCTATGGTGAGTCCATGTTTCCTTTTTGATGAAACAGATGATATAAATCAAAAACATGAATAATTTGATGCAAATAGATATTTGTGACATAACCTCATAATAGAGCGCTGACACGGAACAGTAGAAAACTATGAAAATCAAGGAGGCTATAAAGGCGGCCTACAATTTATTGTAGTTGTTTAAAAGCGTCGTATGGATGTTAATTAGAATGAGTAATAATTCATAATATGTATTCTCATTAAATGATTATATATTCCGTATACTGCTAAGTGTTCTGTGTCGTCATCATTCCGTGACTGTGACTCCGGGATCCCCTGAAAATATCTGTAGTCAGTAGTAGCGAACTATGAATCTTCATTATGAGTGATTTTGATTCTCTTTATATTTACAAACAGAACACATTGAAAGGCGTATCTTGCAGTATAACCTTCACTCATCAATTTCATGGAGTATACTTTTTTCTGAAGAACAAAACGTGGGTCACCACCATGTGACGTCCACGCCAACAACCGAGTGCTGTCGGTTCAAAGGGTTCACTACACTATACGGCAGAAGACCGTAAGATGGGTACTCTTGTCGCTCGACGTCAAGTATCTAATATAAAATTTTCCATGTTTGTTATACAGGGTGTCAGTGCTATTGATTAATGTCCCATTTAAAAAAATACAAACTTATCCAACAGGACTTTTCTATTTATATACAAAAAAATCTAGTATGAAAAACTTTATATTAAACTTCATAATCCACTTCGCGTCCTGCACTACATGTGTATCTGCGATAACATCCGCATTGATAAATGTCTGCAACAGACCTTGTGTGTAATTGCTCAGAAGTCAACTGTAACGGTAGTTGTCGTGAATTAGATAATTCTGTTGATATCGTTGCATTAGCTCATTTTTTATTTGATGATAGTGATCATGATTTGTTTATTTTCAGACAAATTGCCCGAATCTTCAACTTCTGGATCTATCGAACATCGGAACCTTCGCTCACAATATGTCCTTGTTGCACGTGGAGAAACTACAAATCGGATGTCCTAAGCTAAGGGTGCTGCGCATCACAAACAGCCAGATTTGGTTGGCCCCTGCGAGCCTAACTGAACAGGTACGTTGCATACATAGTTATATCATGAATGCTGAAACCATTGATTAACATATCACACCTAAATATACCTAAGGTACTCTTGCCTCTGTCGATCCTGAAAATTGGAGGCTCCACGAAATGAAGGACTTTTATTACATTTTTTTAGAAATCAACTTCTTTCGTAACAGTGCATCTGTGGTTAAAATTTGTCGGATAAGTTGCGAAACACCCTGTATATATATTTATATTTATATATACAGGGTGTCCCGAAAAAAGTGTGCAATATTCTACCAGCGGTTTCCAGAGCTCAAAATAGGAAGAAAGGTTTATATAAACATGTGTCGACAAACGTCCCCTAAGGGCGCCACGGTCTTTTAAAGGGGCTTCCCTGAAGATGGTTTTTCCTTAATATTTCCGAAACGTGTTGAGATAAAGACATAAAATTTGGTATTCTAGCATAGTTTTTTATGCTGGATTTAAAAATATTAACAATTTTAGACAGTTTTGTTTGGAAGCATATGTAACAGGGACGGACTCAGGTTATTTTAGCCCCAAAATTTTTGTGTGATTCTATTTTTAAAATTCAATTTTAGAATATGAAAATTTAGAGTTTTCTACATAAAAAAGGTACTCTTATTGAATATCGATAAATTGTGCCATTTTTGAATAAAATCAAACTAAAAAATTTGTCACATGATAGGAAATGTACTGCGAATTTAAATGAATTGTTGATTACACCTAGTTATTCATCACTGCAAACAAAAGTTGTTTTGATCTGTTATGACTTATTTTGGCGTTAAGCTGACATTGTTAGCAGTGTAAAATTACTAGATTAAAATCAAAATTTTTATTAAATCGATTTAAAATGCCAAGATTTACAGACAGAGAACTGACTGACATGCATTTTGTGTACGGGTTCTGCAATGGCAGTTCATTGACAGCCGTAAGAGAATATCAAAGATTTCCCAATCGCATAGTACCTGGACTTCGAATGTTTACTTATATTCACCAGAATTTATCAAACCATGGAAGTTTCCAGCGCATGCAGGGCTCAGGAAGGCCACTGGGAAATCATTGTATGGATATTGCTTTAAATATGTTTGAAAATAATCAGCAAATAAGCATACGAAATGTTTCAGAAATTATGGATATACCTCGATCAATAGTAAGAAAAATTTATGAATACCTATTTGATAGTTATTATAAAAATAATGATTTTAGATAGGAAGAATGACAAGAATGCAAGGATTACATCCTTATCATTTTAAACGGGTGCAGCATGTATCGGAGGCAGATTTTTTACCACGAATCGAGTTTTGCCAGTGGAAATGAAAACACTATTCCTAGAATATTATGGTCGGATGTGTCAATATTTACTAGGAATGGTGCTTTTAATTTCCACAACATGCATCACTGGTCAGATGAAAATCCAAAAGTTGTTTGCCGTACAAATTTCCAACATAGATTTTCATTGAACTTATGGGCAGGAGTAATTGGGAATCAGGTAATTGGGCCTATTGTACTTCCCAATCGTCTTAATTCAGAGGTGTATCTGAACTTTCTTCAGAATGAGCTCATGGATATAATACCATTGGATGTGCGCCAGCAGTTTCAAGAAAATATGTTTTTTCAACATGATGGTACCCCTGCACATTTTGGACACAATGTTCGAAATTGGTTGAATGTCAATTTTCCAGACAGGTGGTTAGGCCGAGGAGGTCCTATAGCGTGGCCGCCACGTTCACCTGACCTAAATCCATTGGATTTCTATTTTTGGGGGTCATTAAAAGACCTAGTTTACTCGACTGAAGTAAATACTCAAGAAGATTTACTTCAAAGAATCCATCAGGCTGCAAATGAAATAAAAAGAAAAAGGTTTTCCACTTTTCGGGCTACGCAATCATTAGTTCGTCGAGCGAGACTCTGTATCCAACAAAATGGGAATTTATTTGAGCACTTGTTGTAAAGCTAGTTTTAAGTATATCCAACTGTATGTCTTCTTTTTTAAACAAATTTCAAATATGTATTTATGTAATATTTACCAATTATTAAATTAGTTTTTCGTTGCCATGGCTAATTATTCAACAATTCATTTAAATTCGCAGTACATTTACTATCATGTGACAAATTTTTTAGTTTGATTTTATTAAAAAATGGCACAATTTATCGATATTCAATTAGAGTACCTTTTTTATGTAGAAAACCCTAAATTTTCAAATTCTAAAATTGAATTTCAAAAATAGAATCACACAAAAATTTTGGGACTAAAATAACCTGAGTCCGTCCCTGTTACATATGCTTCCAAACAAAACTGTCTAAAATTGTTAATATTTTTAAATCCAGCATAAAAAACTAGGCTAGAATACCAAATTTTATCTCTTTATCTCAACACGTTTCGGAAATATTAAGGAAAAACCATCTTCAGGGGAGCCCCTTTAAAAGACCGTGGCGCCCTTAGGGGACGTTTGTCGACATATGTTTATATAAACTTTTCTTCCTATTTTAAGCTCTAGAAACCGCTGGTAGAATATTGCACACTTTTTTCGGGACACCCTGTATATTTTCGGATGATGAAAGCACATACAGGTGGTTTGAACCATCTAGGTGCATCTTTCTGTCATCAGGATGTCCTTGATGAAGAGGAATTATATTGTTGTGTTATATATTTAGGTGCATTTATAATTTTTGTATATAATCTTTATTAAATATTATTGTTATTAAATAAATAAATATATATAATCAATGTTGATAATTGAGAAAAAGATTTCATATCCTGCCTTATTCGTTCTAGGTGGCTTCTCCAGGCTTTCCTCACCTGGAAGAGCTTTCCTTGGCCGGCTTGGAAGAGGACCAAACGACGACATCCAGATCTATAGATGACGATTGTATGGAGCGACTGTTAAAATCCAGTACGAAGTTGCGATTATTGGACGTCAGAGGGTGCTCCAAGTTAACTGATTCTGGTTTGGTCAGAGTGCCTGCTTGGGACTTAGAGCATTTGTTCTTAAGTGGTATGTATATAACTGTTTTTGGATTGGATAATACTATAATTAGATTAAAAACAACAAAAGCAACGAAACGGCTCTGTATTTTTTCTGGAAAGGTTTACTCGAAAAAAGGTCAAGGTCAGGTTTCCGCCACACGAATAAGGGCTTTTGATTTGACCTTGAGGTTCACATTCAAAGTTATTTCAAGGTCAACTTTTGTTTTTACTTCCTGCGCCACTGGGGCGAGGAAGTATTGTAATCGCGAAATTTCTAAAATCACATGTTTTTTGGATGTTATATGACATGAACAGTATTAATTTTATTTTATTAATCCACCAACCTGTATACATAATTCGTTATAGCATAATACTCACTTATTATACATAAGTAAATTCATTAGACTCCCTTCAATAAAAAATTAATTGAAAAAACTGGAACTATAAAGGACAAAAATATATAGGCAAAGCAAAACAACTATAGAAAAAAGAGGCAAAGTTCATTGAATTATAGAAAACCAACCATGTTTGTGTTAATATTTTGTAGCATAACCATTATTATCAATCACCGTCTGGCATCGTCTCGACATAGATTGTAGAAGTTTCTTGATATAAGATTCATCAATCTGTCTCCACTTTTGCTCTAAAGCGGCAAAAAGTTCATCCTTGTTTGAATAACTTTTATCTCGTATTTGCTTATCAAAGTATTCCCATAGATTTTCAATGGAGTTTACATCGGGAGACTGAAGTCCATTTGAGAACTGGTATTTTTTCATCCAGAACGAATTTCTTTGCGAGAAGTGTGCTTCGGGTCATTATCTTGCTGGAAGATCGATCTTAAGGGCATATTGTCTTCCATATAGGGTAACATGACATGCTTTAGTATGTCTGTGTATAGAAACTTATCCATAATGCCATCTATTCTATGTAAAGGTCCCATCCCAAACCCCAAAAAGCACCCCCAAACCATAACAGACCCGCCTCCATGTTTGACAGTGGGCAAAGTGTACTTGGGGTTCAATCTTTGTCCACTAGGATGTCTAACGTAATGAACACCATCTGATCCAAACATATTGAACTTGGATTCGTCACTGAAACATACCCTTTTCCAGTCACAGATGCTCCAATCAAGATGCAACCGTGCAAATTTTTCCTCGAGATTAGCGGCTCGGGCGACGTGTAAATAACTTCAAATCATTTAATCTTCTACTTATAGTTTTCGTAGAAACACTGACAATTCCTTTTGTCTCGATTTCGGCTTTTATTTGTCTTGGGGTTTTAAACGGATCTTTGGACGAAATTACTTTTATTAATCTAACTGATCTAGCATTTAGTTTTCTAGACCGACCACTTCTCTTAGAGGCTTCCAAGATACCTTTTTGTTTATATTTGTTCAATATTGCCCAAACTGATTTACGCTTCAGCTTCAAATTTTTGGCAATGTCGACTTGACGTTGACCATCTTTGTATAACTCAATGATCTTAGTTTTCACATCGAAAGAAATTCCTGGACCACGCGGCATGGTCTGAAAATCACTCAACTTATTCCACAATACTTGATGAACACAAACTAATCCGCTTCTGACACGAAACTGTACTAAACTAATGTAGAAAAGAATTTGTCTGCATATTTTTGTCCCTCATAAAAAAATGCTTATATTTAGACTTGTATTGTGTTCATTGCAGATAATGTAAAAACAAGGAATTTAGTTTGTCTACTAATAACGTATTTGTTTATGGAGCAATGAAGTATGAATTTGTTATTTAAAGGTATTTAGGTAAATATTCTTATTTGTCTATACGAGTATACTTTTTTCCATTACTGTACATCACGAAAAACTATGTCGCTGATCCTTGGCCCATCTATAACTTGGACGGCACTGGTCAGATGTTGATGAAATTTTCACACAACGTTATTTCTATGCTAAAGACGAAAAAGTTTTGTAGTTTTTGAAAATCGGTTCAGTGTCGGCGGTCGTACATGCAAAAAATAAATACAAATCGACGGAACTTTTTTTTTCAGAACAAATTTTGCAGGGCTCAAAAGCCCGATGTTTGGGGTTGCAGGGGTTGGGGGGAAAATCTCATTTCTTGATCTAGCAATTTATGGGTTTCCAACCTCGGCAATTCTCGCCTCTTTTAGACATAGTTCATACATCATAGATTTCCCGGTAGATGTTCTGGGATGGTAGGCTAGATCGCAACATTGTCAAATCTGTTGAGACTATGGTCTAGTTGTATGAGTCTGTTTGACTGACGTGATCCATTTAATACTATTCGTCATTTATTTGTCTGGGCGGTCCGTAGGACCTTTGCCCATTAGTCACTCTCTGATGTACGTTAGTCGAATCTGTCAGTCCTGGTTGTCCAGAAACCAGACAAAGTCAAGGAAAAAGAGAAAGGGAAAGAGAAGAAAAAAGGAGAAGAGCAAAGAAAAACAGATATGCTTAGTTTAAGAGGAAACACCTAGGCTTTTTGACTTGGTACACGGATTAATTTTGAGGTGAACTAAACAAATTTTTTTGATTCGGTTTTGTTAGAGTGTAATTTTGAGTTTACTAAAGATTCACGCTAACTTTTGATTACAGTGCGAACCGTGGCCTTGAATGTTTACGAACTTGCTCCACTGAGTAGTCCACTGAGTCACGCAACAGAGGGTTGCTGTGCGATTCCGCTTGACGTCGCTGCGCCTGAAGCTTGACATAATCCCTCAAGTAAGGAATGTCAAGGTCTCTGTCTCATTTGAGACATACCATGGAGCGTTGCAAATTGTCCGCAAAGTTCTGCTTTGCAGTACTTGAAGACTTTGCATGTGTGTCTTGGCAAGAAAACACCAAGCCGCACATGCATAAGTAATGGCTGGTCTAATAATCATTTTATATAGTCGAACTTTGTTTATCAAACTCAATTTGGAGGATCTACATAACAAAGGATGTAGTTGCCGAAACGCAATTTGGAATTTTGTTTTTATGGATGCTGTATGTTTCTGCCAGGTCATGCCTTTATCAAGGGTGACACCGAGATACTTGGCAGAATTTGTCCATGGTACACGATTTCCGTCTACAGAAACCTCTGCTGGGGGGGGCGCGACGTTTTTTGGTACAATAAATAGCCTGCGTTTTCGAATGATTAATTTTTATCAGCCACCCTTCCGCCCACTCTAGAACTTCGTCCGCCGCATTCTGCAACCCATCGTAAACCAGATCACCAGTACACGACTGGGCGACAAGTGCAGTGTCGTCAGCATAGAGGTAGACTTCACAGTTGCTGGGGGAAGGGACATCATGGGTGAAAAGCGAATAAAGAATTGGTCCTAGGACCGAACCCTGAGGAACACCGGCCCGTACTGTCCGTGTTGTTGACAAAACATTGTTAATTTTGATCCGAAACTTCCTTCCTTCAAGAAAGGATTTCAGTAATTTTAGAAGCCAAAAAGGAAAACCCTTTTGGATTAGTTTATAGAGGAGGCCCGCGTGCCGCACCTTGTCAAAGGCTTTTGAGACATCCAAAAGCAAGATGCCAGTACTCATGCTGAGGGTGAACCCTCTGGTTACATGCTCCACCAGCCTGACTGCCTGTAGCTCGCTTCTATGCTCGGACCGAAAACAGAATTGGACGTCAGGGATCACATGGTGATTTGACGAAAAATTCTCAAGGTGACGATAAATCACCTTTTCGGCGAGCTTAGAAGGAGCTGACAGCAGACTTATGGGACGGTAATCCTGAGGAAATATCGAACCCACCTTCTTTGGAATCATGATGACCTCAGCAGTCTTCCACCCAGCAGGGAAGTACTGGATTTTGAGCGTCGCATTGAGTATTGTCACCAAGTATGTCAGGGCTTTCGGCGAGAGCAGCTTCAACGCCTTGTTGGTGATTTGATCCTCCCCAGGTGCTTTACGCACCTTGAGGTCTTTAATATGACTTAGTAACTCCGCTGGTGTGCAATGTGGAAACTCGGAGGGTTCCGCTAATGTGCTATGTGGAGCCTCAGACGAATCTTCTGAAGAAGAGTTATCTGAAGAGGATTCAGTGCCTCCGCTAACGCCGTTGGCTCTAAAATATCTCCTGACGGATCGTACGATGTGCTGTTCCTCGTCGAGGTCATTATCGAGATCATAGTTGGGAGAGAACTGTTTTTCCATGGCATCAGCGAAAACCTCGACCTTATCCTCCGTTCTGAAGACTATGCCTTCAGGACCGTGGATGTGTGGGAGTTGTTCTCGCTTTCCGTTTCTGAGTGACTTTGCGACCCTCCAGAGAGGAATACTTGAATCAAGCATTCCCGCCAGAAAGTCGCTCCATTGCTCGTTGCGGAGTTCGTGCAGTGCGTTTCTGACTTCATGGACAAGATTTGTAGCCCTACGAATGTCATCAGGATGACAAGACCTTTTTGCCTGCTTAATAGCGGCCCTTTTGTCAGAGATTTTCAGACGAATGTCCGCAGGCAAAAAAGGTGTCGTTGTACAGGAAATACAGCGGCACGCTGTAGAGCTGCTTGAATGAAACTTGAGCGGCATCTATTCCAGACTAATCATCTATAACCGGGATATTGGGAAACTCTCTAAGGAGCAACTTGTATAGGTCCCAATCAATGCGTTTCCTTGGAGGAGCTGCCTCCTCAGAAGTTTGCTCATTGCCCACATCCAAGACAACAGGTCGATGGTCAAAATGGTTGAATGGATGATGTGTCGGCACTTCAGTGCTATGTATAAGGTCCCATTTCGCATCACATGGTTGTACAATCGAACCCCACTGGTGGAATTCAACCTAGAATTCCATGCTCGATGTTTGCAGTTGAAGTCCCCTGCCACAATAAGCGGACCCGAGTAGTCCAAAAGGACCTCCAGATCCGCCTCTTGTAGCCTGGCACCACACCTGACATACACCGATGTGGTGATCCATTTAATTTCATAACTTGTGCCAAATATAATCTTTATCGATTGATAACAGCATCGAGTCCACGTATTTGACGCCATTTTTTAAATGGAAATCTGGAAAGATAGAGCCGCTTCATTACTTCTGTTACAGCCGGTATATTCAGTGACATTGAACAGCTTTCATTAGCTTAGAAATCATTTTATTGAGAATTAATGAGTAAGATAGTTAAAGATTTTAAGCATGTTTTTATTCCAGCGTGCTATATAACGAGGTTGCAAGATTCCGGCTTGGAGTTGGTACTACAAAAGTGGGCTCATAGCTTGATAGAAGTGGATCTTGCATGGAGTACTGCGACTGCTGCCTTAGACGGTGCAGTCTGTGCATTGGCAGAGAAAGGACCTGAATCAAAATTAACGTAAGTTGAAATTGTGTTTCATTTCATATTACAGTTTGTTAAATATGTATGTATATGTATTATAAATGGATTTCCGATAAGGTCAGTACGATGTTGAAACAAATAAGACAATTGTTGGTACTACTACCGGGTGGCCTGTACTTTTGATCGGAAAATGCCACATGCAGCCATAACCTTTGGTGTAAATTGTTTTGACCTTGAACGTCCTGATGAAAGTCACCGCGCAATGCCTTCGTTTGAAAAAGTTTCGGGGATATTTCTAAGGATAAAGCAATAAGAACTCAAAGACACTCCTGATGAGAAGCTTCCATTTTCCCTGGCTGTTTACTGGTGACCTCAGAACTGACCTTTACCATGACTTCGATGGGCAAATCATGGTCTAGGCATTTTTAAATACCCCATACTTTTGATTCCGGAAACGGGCAGAGCGGAAAATACTACTTTAAACCTTGATCATTAACGTTCAGGGTAAAACTAATTTTCACCCAAGGTTTCTAAACTTAAATTTTTCGCTCTATCCGTTTCAGGGGTCAAAAGTTGAAAACATCTTGTCCTTCAATTGACATTCAAGGTCATCACTGAATAGCCAGGGAAAATCCTAATCCAGTGGGAAAGTTTACTTTACATTTAAGAAAAAAAAAATACAAACTTGATGAAAATAAAATATTTATAACTATCAACATATTCGTAAATTCGGCGGGTTTTATTTCTTAAATATCATTCCGTCCAAATGTTTTAGACACACTCTTCTAATCGCGCGCGCAAATTGTGAAACACTCTTGCAGAGTTCCGGAGTGATGTTTATTTCTCGTCAAATGTTGTCTTTAAGCTCCTCCAGTTTTCATGAATTATTGGAATACACTTTTGACTTTAGATAACCCTACAAAGAATAATCGCATGGCGTGAGATCGGGTGACCTAGGAGGCCAGTGAATGTCTCCAATTTTAGTTATAAGTTTTTGATGAAAAAGTGCTTTCACCGTGTCCATCGATTCTCTGGAAGTATGGGCAGCGGCCCCATCCTGTTGAATCCATGTGTTTCTGTTAAATCGACGTTCTGTTCTTACAATAGGGCAAAAAAAGTGTCAATTATGGCCTGTATCGCTCGGAATTGACTGTCAATTTTTTACCGTTTTCATCTTCAAAGAAATACGGCCCAATAATACCTCTAGAGGATATGGCACACCAAACATTCACCTTTGGGGCTATGAATCACCACTCTTAAAGTAAGCCTCGATAGCAAAAGTACGTTGCGCTCCGGTCCAACGTTCCATTGTGACTATTTAACCCGCACGCCGAACGCGTCGATCAAAACATCGCCCCACTTCCTCCTGTATACGGTTGCCGCATAGTTCAAATTTGAAATGTGAACTTTCCCACTTTTACCATATCCCTTGAATACCCTCGATTATTTTGCCATAGAGATTTTATCTTTATAATTGCAACGTCTTTTCCAGGATCCTGAATCTATGCGGTTCCTCCGTAAGCCTTCCGACGGTGAAAGCAGTTTTATCCAAATGCCTGAACCTGCGGTCGATCAACCTTCAGTCATGCCGGGCACTGCCCAGAGGCATTAAGCGACTCTACACCGGCAAGAAGCAGATTGACGAATTGCGAGAGGCGCTCAATAAAACTGATCAACCCGCTGCGACGGAGGAAGAGGGATCCCCGTCTTCTGCATCTCCGCAGAATAAACCTGAGTAAAGGTTGAACTTATATATAGGGTGTAACAAGTGAGGAAGGCTATGGAAAATTGGCGTATTTGGTTTTGTATTCAGTTACATGCAACTTACGGCCGGTTCACGCTACCTCAATTGAAGATATATGGCGTTAAGTTTGTAATTATGTAGTCGGGGGTGAAGAGGCTCAGTTTTACGCAGTATGGAATAAATAGATTAATTTACGAAAATTACAGCATTAGCGGTGACAAAGGAATTCTAGATCGTCGCGAAAATATTCGCAGCTTATTTTTGTACTGTATGCCTCTTTGGTCTAGTGCTTTACAACACGTTTGCATAAAATTCATCAGCGGGTTCAAGAGTCTTTCCTTTGTATTGAGCAGTAAGTTTTTACAAAAAAAAAAACAGCTAATGTTCATCTGAGATTTTCTACTTCCAAAAGATAGGTTTTTAAATGGAATTTGCACAGGAAAGAAGGTTGCTCGTCCAATAGATATTTTTCTTCTCTGAACGAATCTTAGAATAGGCCAGTAAAATATTCTAAGCCTTGCTGTTGAAGAGGTGCCATTTTTTCAGCATTAAGACTACCGTTCCTGTACTATTCCGATTCGGATTAGCTAAGGAATATTAGACTTTTTCTGCTAAAAAATGCCAGTTGCAATTTTTCTGTTAAAAGTCGCAGCTGACATTATTTTGCATAAGTCAAAATTTACTGAACTATTCCCATTCGAAATAGGCCAGCGATATTGAACTTTTTCCGTTGAAGGGAGACTAGTCTCTGTTTTTTTTTTTCAGCAAAATGACAAATGTCACTGGCCTATTTTGATAAAAAATACCAGTTGCTATTTTTTTGCAATGTTGGAGCTAACCAAACCATTATTTTACACTAAAAGCATAATTTTCCAGAAATAATCCGATTCGAATTAGACCATATTAGACTTTTTACGCAGTATGGAATAAATATATTTATTTTCGAAAATCACAGCATTATCGGTGAGAAAGCAATTCCAGATCGTCGCAAAACGTTTACAATACTTTCCACGACAATTGGCGAGAAAGTGCTATAATTGCGAAGACTGAAAAATATGTGCAAAAGACATGTCTCTCGTTTCCGTCCGATCTGAATCTGTGGGTTTTTAAAATTAACCTATTGGCGGCGGAGATACTGAGAATAAACGAAGGAAAATAACAATCACTAAATCCTCTTGTTTGACGTTCCAGATACTGTCCATTTTCAGAAATATTTGTAGAAGTGTTAAAACTGCGCGTTGGGGGGTTATCAATGTTTTATCAGTATCGTCTTTGATTAACGTATGTTGCCTGAATATCGTCAACCTAAGGCTATATTCCCGCGCCCAAAAAATTATCCGACATAAAATGAGACACCCTGATATTTTTTCACAGTTTTTCGATTTACTATATATAAATATATATCTTGAAAGGTTAGTATCTCATAGATGGCCCTGCAGCATATAGTTATATACCAACCTTTTCAAAGAACATATGTTAAATACAGAACAAGCTGTGACAAATTCTCATAGATGACGCTACGAAATGTCATTTCATCTCGAATAATTTTTGGAACGTGGAAGTGTAGCATTAGGCTGGCTATCTTCAAAAAGAGTCTATTAATCAAAATCTTCTGATCATAGTAATACCGGTAATGTGTTAGACACTCATATTTACCATACATTTGCCATTGAAATAGAGATATCCTCTATTATTTGAGATGTAGAGGTCTACAATATATTGTATGTAAGTGAACATCCCTAGCCTAGTTTAAATTCCATTTGGGTTCTTTGAATAGACTTGTCGCATTTTTTTTTTTTTTAGGCGCGAGATTCAATCTAATTTTCACCATTTGATTGTCCTCTGATAATTATCGCATGTAATTAAAATTGACACGATTCTGGAATTTGTGATGCCACTTTGAAAAAGACTGTTCTAGAGTATAGTCAAAAAATTTCTTGGATGATCAATGATTTATAACTTGGTCAAAACTCATTTTATTTTTTCTGAGGTGCTCTTTCAAATAATTTTCTGTAACATGTTTTTATTTATTCATGAATATCCGTGGCTTTGGCAGATTCAAATATCTGTTTTGAGATATAACCTATGAAGTGGCAGCAGGATTATAAATGGAAAACAAACTTATATTCAAATCTGCATGTTTCTCTGACCGTCAAATAAAGCCACAGATATAGAATAAAGCTGAACCATTTCTGCCATCTTGTTACTTTGAAAAAGGCCGCGAAGTATAAGTTTCGAATGTTACATTAATATTCTATTTGTTAGCGTTTCTCTACTCAGAAACAGACAACTAAATTTCTGTCTTGCACGTTTCACGAAATGTTCTCGACATTTCTCATCTCTCCGACCAATTAAGTGCGTGATCAGGAAATTTTTCTAGAGGTTCTTATTTTACAAGTTGCATCATATCTACGTAAAATTTTCAAAAATTCAGTTTATCGTCAATTGGTGCAGCTAAAATTGTTGTATGTCAATAAATTTTATATGTCGAATTTACTTGACTCCAATTTTTAAACTGAATTAGTGATATTTCCAAAAGTTTTCCAATAGCTGTCTCTTTTCGTTTCACCCTGTATATGATGAAGAGGTTGTATATACACTGGCCCAGTGTACGTTGTGATTACTATTTCTTTCTCTAAACGAGACGATTTTTGTTCGATCCAGATGCGTTTTGTTTGGGGAGATTGTTTATTTTATGGCAGTATTTTTTCGTGATTTTTATAACCTAGGACTAAAGTTTCACAGTTGGCTATCAAAAATGAGCAATATTCAAAGGTCTACAATCGGTAAAATAAACATATCCCCATAATTTTGTACATAACTTTATCGAGGAAAGTTACTTTGTTACGATGATTTTATTTTTATGATTGTTTATTTTAATATAGCCAATGGTTATGAGAGGATTTGAATGAAAATTATATATATTTCTGGATTATTTTGAGATAGTGGTAGATTAGGTTCTTTCACGTTTTTCTTTGTAACCTTTTACAAAGTGTTTTCTTTTAGATTGTTATTTTTCAAAATTATATTTATTGTATTTTTAAGCTCTAATTTTATAAATTTTATATATGGAATTTAAAGTTAAACAAGAAAACTATGTTTGTTATAATTTCTATCTTTTAGTGAAATATTAGCTAATAATGTTGTACAGTACCTGTCGATTGATAAAAAATATATGAAGCAAAATAATGGTGACATTAATAAATATAAACCAAAATTTTATTAAGGGAAAATCGCAGTTGTAAGAATCTCTTGTATATTTATAAAATTACTATTTTAGGAAAATTGAAGTTAGCACCATTGTATAAAAAATGATTCTGATACGCTCATTCTTTTCAACCTCACACTATTTTTCAATCCAATCAATTGCTGTAACATTAACCATGTGTGGTCTTAATGGTCAATTTCAATAAAACAGAAAAAATGGAAGTTTGAAAATATTCGCAGCTTATTTTTGTACTGAATGCCTCTGGTCTAGTCCATTACAGGACGTTCGCATAAAATTGTTCAGGGAGCTCAAGTCTCCATTGTATTGAGCAGTAAGTTTATACAAAAAACAGCCAATTTTCATCTGACCTTTTCTTCCTTCCAAAATATAGGTTTTTGAAAGGGAGTTGACAGGAAGGAAGGTTGCTCGTCCAAAACAATTCATTTTTGAGCTAATCTCAAAATAGGCCAGGAAAATAAGGCTCTGCTGTTGAAGAGCTAGGAAATATTAGGCTTTTTCTGCTAAAAAATGCCAGTTACAATTTTTCTGTTAAAAGTCGCAGCTGACATTATTTTGCATAAGAAGTCAAAATTTACTGAACCAGTCCCATTCGAAATAGGCGAGGGATATTTGACTTTTTCTGTTGAAGGGAGACTAGTCTGTTTTTTTCAGCAAAATGACAAATGTCACTGGTCTATTTTGATAAAAAATACGTTGCTATTTTTTTGTTCCATGTTGGAGCTGATTGAAGCATTATTTTACACAAAAAACATAATTTTCCAGAAATATTCTGATTCGAATTAGACCATATTAGACTTTTTCCGATAAACATATGGCAGCTAAGTTTTTTTTCAGCAGAAAGACTAGTTTCCTTGACCTATTTCGATTAGTGATGGTAGGAATATTCTACATACTTTGCAGAATATTTCCAGTATTCCTGGGCTATTTCGAGTAGTCCACTGCATAGTTGCCACTTGTTCCAATTTCACCTGTAACCGCGAAAATTCCAAAAATACACCTCAAAAAATTGCAATGTCAAATTAATGTTGGTCAATTGAATAGTTAGTGCTCAGAGATTATTGTAGAGTGCAGTCACTCTAATAGCTAGTAAAACGCTGCTATATAGGCCAGAGGATGTTTTTGAGGTTTTTCAAGTGTCATTGTTGCAGCTGACATATTTTGATGATTGTCATTTATTTAAATGTACAATGATTATTGATGTTTTGTTTGGCATGTCAAATTGACACTTATTCACATATCTCATTGACAGTGCAAACTAAAAAGAACTGAGCGTCTCAGCTGTCGTTATGTGTGTAAATGTGTAGGAGCCTTTCTGTTGTACATTGTCATGTCGATGAACTCAATGGTCTTAACAGATTTAATATATTACGATACCGTTACGTTATTTTTTACATTTGTGCACTTACGATATAATATGTACTAATATTATGTATATTATTTATATAAATATATGAATAGGTTGACATAATAGCAAGACGTGTAATTATTTGCCCAGCCTCAACAGTCTGTATACAAGGATGAGGAAAAGCATTATAACGTTACCGAATTCGATGAAATTTTATATTTCACGCAAGAAATTGAGGAAATAATGATGTTTTCCACCTTCGAGCATGTAGAAACCTACACACAAGTACTGAAAAATTTTAAATGTGGCACTGGTTGATAGATGGCACTTCATAAACCTTCATAACACACGACTCACAAAATTTAACTAGGCTAAGAGAATCTTTAAGGGGTGGTCGGTCGGGGTTTGGGTGGTTCAATTTTGCGTTTCATTTCTTTAGATCAAGAAACTTAAATTGCCGTGAGGGGGGCTAAAATCCCCCTTTTTTAAGAAATATTGTTTGGATTAGTATTATGATTACGTACTGCCGTACTGGTTTGCTTTGTTGAAAACAAACACTCCCCCCTACAAATATTGAGTTTTACTGAAATTTCCTGATTTTCTCAGGTAGTCATTGAATTTTGTGAGGCGTATTATAGCAATACGTCTTCAGCGCCATCTAGTGCACGATAGCCAAATTAAAATTCTGCCTATAAAATGGATAGATTTTGAATAAGCATTTGTCAACTAATAAAATATTTCGCGCAAAAATTTTAGAAAATAATGATCTTTTTCACCTTCGAGCATGTAGAAACCTACACACAAGTACTGAAAAATTTTAAATGTGGCACTGGTTGATAGATGGCACTTCATAAACCTTCATAACACACTACTCACAAAATTTAACTAGGCTAAGAGAATCTTTAAGGGGTGGTCGGTCGGGGTTTGGGTGGCTTAATTTTGCGTTTCATTTCTTTAGATCAAGAAACTTAAATGGCCTTTTTTAAGAAATATTGTTTGGATTAGTATTATGATTACGTACTGGTTTGCTTTGTTGAAAACAAACACTCCCCCCCTACAAAAATTGAGTTTTACTGAAATTTCCTGATTTTCTCAGGTAGTCATTGAATTTTGTGAGGCGTGTTATAGCAATACGTCTTCAGCGCCATCTAGTGCACGATAGCCAAACTAAAATGCTGCCGATAAAATGGATAGATTTTGAATGAGCATTTGTCAACTAAACTTGCAAATTTCAGCCGACGACATCGATTCCTCGCATTTGTAGAATATGCTGAGTTAACTTTTCAACAAAGTTTTCATTAAACGCCAGGGACATCGATGTTGCCAAATGTGCTATTTACAAAGCAAGATATGCTACTAACGTGATGGTTTCACAGGGAGAAATAATACAGCGAAATAATAACAATACAAATATATTTATGTTTAAAACTTTCAATAAATACAAAGGAATGACTTTAATACTGTAGATATGATGTTGGGATGTAAACAGTAAAAAAATTATTGACCTCCCTGATTTTCAACATAAAGCAACATTTGAAACGAACTGTTATACACGTTAATTAAGTACTGTAAATGCCAACACTCTTAGATAAGCATATTAAAAAATACAATGCTTCAATAGATTACACAAAAAACTATAACAACAGTAGATTAATTCATAAAAATAAAAACAATGGTACTTTGCACTTCCACGCGTTATTGCCTTAGATATATAAGATATATTTCACTTCTAGTGCTTCAACAACTCAAAAATAAAGTTCACATCCACGATTCTTTGATTTTCATTTACCTGACCATTCGCTCACTCGTCCATTATCGAAAACCAAGTTATGTCTTGGTAATGGCACTAATCTTCCGCGTTTGAGGATCTCCATATTTTCCCCTGGATAGTACTGAAACATTGAAACGTAATGTTTATTTCGGCGTTTATATATGGTACAGTACTTTTCGAAAAAATCCACTAATTTTCGAACGGAGCAACTTAGCTGAAATTCGGGATAATGAATAAATGCATGAATACTATATTCTAGAGAAAAAGTGAATATCAAGACGGAACATTTTATTATATGTATGCAAGGGTTTCATGTCGTACTTAGCCTACAAAAAAAACGAAAATTTTGGAAAAGTGGCGATTTATTTCTCAACATAGTCTCATTTTAACTCGTTACACTTAACCCAGCGATGCTCCAACTTCTTCAACATGACTGAAAAATAAGTTTTCTGGAGGTCTGCAAAGTAGGCGGCGATAACCACCTCATTCGACTAAAATTTCTGCCCGGCGAGTGACTTTTTCAATTTTGGAAGGAAAAATAAGTCGCACGGGGCCAAATCTGAGGAATACGGTGGATGGGGCAGCCTATTCCGACCAATTTGGCCGTAACGGCGGCAGAGGTGTTAGCCGGTACGTTATGGTGGAAGAGCACTTATTTCTTCGCCAAACGGGGCCATTCTTTCTGCAATTCGGCGTCGGATCAGCCCAATAATTCGGCATAGTAGAGCCATGTGGCCGTTTTGCCCTTCTCCAGGTAGTCGATGTAGTTCATACCTTGTGAATCACAGATAACGGTGGCCATGACCTGTCCGGTCGTTTCAGAGCACGTTCGCCGGGTGAAGTTCTGTTTCGACTATTCCTTGACCTCTGGTGTGGACCAGTGGATCCATGTTTCGTCGACGGTCACAACACACAAACTCCTCCAGATTGCGCTCAAACAGCGTCAAACGCTGCTCTGAAGTGGTCTCACGGTGTGCTTGCTGTCCGGAGTGAACAAACGCGGCACCCACCTCGCAGACAGCTTTCTCAAGCCCAATATTTCATGCAGCATATATAACCCATGCGGTCTTTTTAGATGCCTACTGTCTCAGCTATCTCGCGCACCTTCAATCGACTGTCTGCCAATACAAGATCATGGATTTTTGACACTCCGTGGTAGCCGGTTTCGGAGCACCTGAGCGTAGCTCATCAAAAACCGACGTGCGTCACGTTGAAACTCAAACCAATTTTTGACGGTCGCCATCGAAGGAGAAAAGCCGCCGTACACAGCACCCGGCGCTCTTTGATTTCGCGGCGCGATTGCTTTTCCAAAAATAATAATCTAACTACCGACCGATATTGCTCTTTTTCCATTTTTCTAAAATCCGCGGACAAGCCCGCTTCCACACGGGGTCAAAACAAAACTACGAGTATGATTCGGCTGAAATTTTGAAAGTAGCCGTCTACGATAATGTACTACACGTTAGTAAATTTCTATTGCGATAGTGGCGCCATCGCGCGGTTAGCCTAAGTACTTATCGGAGCGCCCTCGTATAATAATAAATGGCCTTAATTTTGTACATCAGCGCAGTCTAGCCGAAACTTTTCGAATGAACTGTCAGCCACATACATTGATTTCAAACATGCATACACAACAAATAATATCTCGCAATAGTCTACATGTTAATATTTCAAGTGTGTACTCAAATATACGTACACACACAAGCCGAAAAAAGTAACTATAGTAATTGAAAATTTAAGATCTAAGAAGGTAAAATACCTTATTAACAATATTAGTATAAAAAAAACCCAAATGAAACTGAACAGTATTGAATAGAATTGACTTTGTAGGCATACTTAAATTTAAAATAAGGTGAGACTCAAATTTACTCTGTGAAATTTGGCGGCTCAACAAATACGTGTTACACCCAGAAAAAATAATTCCTTCAACTTGATTTTTTGGCAATGAAACGATAAAATTCTCACGAAATTTTAAGTAATAAGGAAAAAATAATGTATTGGGCAACCCCACAGCTGTATACGTATAGGCAACAGCCCCCAAACCATTATTCCAACTGTCCTGTGTACATGCCTCCCAACAGCAAATCCTATATCACGCCGTTCTCCACGGCGGCGTGTTTACCCTTCTACCACCAACGTGCGTACCTAGATAGAATCAAGATTCGTCCCTGAAGATAACATTATGCCCTTCTGCCTTCCTATGTTGCGGTTATCTGCTCCAGTTCAAACTTTGACAACAGTGGTCCGAAGTCAGAGGAAGCACTAACCGTGGACGGAATGAAAAAAGTCCAAAGGCTCGAATGCGGAGGTAGACTGTACGCATAGTAACAGGTCTACCTTCTTTTCTCATTTGGCCTTCTTCGTGTGCCTCTGCCTTCTTCGATCCACACACGACACGCACGCATTGCCGTCATTGCAATACAATTAACACGGCGGCCAATTTCGCGATAGGACAAACCAACATCTCGATAGGCAATAATTCTACCCCTCTCAAATTCGCTAACATAACGGTAATTTGGACGTCTTCCAACTCGAGGCATTTTGTTTTGCTTAACACTAGTAAATCAAAGGGTAGATAACTAAAAATGTCTGTACTACTCAGCCCTCAGAAACTGCTTTCTACACAAAAACTAAGAGATAACATTTTAACAAACGTAAGCAAAAAAATTAAACGTTGACCTTGTTGCTACAGCATTCTTTAAATACTTTGAAGTTGAGTCATTAATTTTCAGATAATGATTGTAGAAGGAAGATAAATGTGTGTGTAAAAATTAAAAAAAAAATTTAAAAAAAATGTTACCTTGTTTTATAAAATATCCTCCCGACAAGTATTTCAGTGCGGACCTGTATTTGATCGTGCGGTCTTGGAGCACATACCCTCCCGTGTGAGGACTTAAGTCACCCGATTCACGAGCCCTTTGTACTACATTAACAAAGGCACTAGGGGTGGGTTGCACTCGATTGGGAAACCGATCCGCATAAATCCGTGTTGCCGTAGCAGCACTTTGTAAAATAAGAATCATGTCCACAAGTTCAGCATTTTCGTAAACATGTGCCATTTTTTATTTCGTTTGAGCCACGCAGAAACACCACTCACGCGTTACCGACTGACACATCGAATGAATACAACTGAATAAAATAAATCAATAAAACATCGTGATAAGCGTTTCAAATTCTTTCGCTTTTTTGTTTCCGATTATATACGTTGTTGCCAAACACGAGCACATATTATTATTGAGACAGGGCGGTACTCAAACTTCTAAAGGGCTATAACTTTGTTACTTTAATTTTACCAGAAAAATGGTAAAGGAAAAAAACATTTCTTTTGATCAGATCTACTCACTGTTAAAATAAATGACTCAACTTCGAAGTCATCCTGTATAGTCATTGGGTTGCCAAAAAACAAGTTGAAGAAATTATTCTTTCTGGATGTAACACTTCTAATGTCACTGATTATATATTAGCCGATTATAATAATACTCAAAAGCTTACATACCTGACATTGTGAAATGAAATCCAGCAATGCTGATCCCAACTTTCGGCTAGATTCAACCAGCTGTTCGAGGCTACAACAAACAATAGCAATACGTAAAACTAACGTACACTATTAATTTATGATGTTTCTTCAACAAGGCAACACATGACAACAAATATCAGATAGTCATTTAGGGCCATATCGTCAGTCGTTCCTACAATTCTAGGACGCCTTTATGGCCTTCTTGAGTTTCATAGTTTTCTACTGTGCCGTGTCAGTTACTCTATTTTGAGGTAATGTTATAAATATCTATTCGCATCAAATTATTCATGCTTTTGATTTATATCATCTGTTATATCAGCCTGAAATTTCCTACAATTCAAAAAGAAAAGGTAGCCTCGAAATGGGAAAGCGTTGACGCTGACACGGAATATTAGGAATCTAGAAATATCTCAGCCTTTCTGAAGGAGAGAAAAGACTATGAAAATCAAGGAGACGTCCTACAATTGTAGGGATGTCTGACGATACGGCACTTAATAGTAGTGGTGGGGACGCGAAGACTGGCAACTAAGCCATCGTTGACCTTTTTTGCCGACGAATTTAGACTAAGTAGAAGGAGCTAGAGAAAGATTTGAAATAAGACAGCACAAAATACAATCTATTACCAGAATATAAACCTTATACTCTGAAGAGTTGTTCAGCTTTCGTTCGTTGTCCACCTAGCCTTCACCATGCTGAGGAGTTGCCAAATAACACAAAACAACTGTCTGTGATCGGACGAACGAAAGCTAGTTTAGTCAAGGATTTGTTTATCTCATAATTCCCATACGCTGTAGTGGTGAATGAAAGTGCACTTCACATAAGTCAATATTTTTACAGTTCTGTCACTAAATTCGTATTTTTTTGTGTTATTTTGTAAAAGTGCGGTTTCAATTTGTAAAGAGCCGCTCAAGCCTAATGAAGGTAGACATTTCCACCGGTAAGTATTATTATGATGATACAATGCTATCACTTCGGCAGGCGTTAGTACACACATCCTTTAAAAGTATGTACTAAAACTACGCAATTTTGGCGACAAACAATGTAATATAAATACAGGTTAAGGCTTGGTTCCCAATCTATTTGAATTCGATGCTTTTTGCCAATCTCGTTGGTCGAGCTAGTCATTTAGTGACATTCAAAATAGTCTAGATCGTCTAGTGACAGGACCTACCTCAAACTGCTCCAAACTACCTACGGACGCTGATTCTTTTGTGCATACAGTAATTAAGTTTTCTATCTAAATCAAATTAATAACATTTTTGAAACAAACAATTGTCAAGATAACTATGCCAGTGATCGTCCGCACCCCAGATGATCCGTCAATTTTTCAGATGTCGACGGGAAAATAGACACTCTCATCTGCGTGTCATTACTTACGCTATATACTGATTTAAGTCTGACTTATGAAACAATGAATTACCTTGCTGCTTCCGCTAACCCTCCAGACACAATGCTATCACAGATATTAGTATTTGCGTTCACGTCAAACAGTGGCACTCCAAAATGACAATCTAGCAGTGTCCAGACCTACATGAATTAGTAGAACAAACCACACATCACTATAAAGACCAAAAGCGATCTATTTTATTAGATACAGCTAAATAAAAAAATACTGTAATAAGTTATATGATTGAAGACAATAAAGCATCTACATGCAATTCCACACTATATAAGAACGTTGAAACAAACTCATGATGTCCATGATTGTATACTTTTTTAGGTAAGTCACACATGATTTGATGTTTCAAATAATGCTAAATGAAGTTAAATGAAACAACGAATTAAACTTCAAAAATACGAAAATATGGTAAAGTATTTTTGGAATACTCAATAAGATATAATATGATGTTACTAACTTAAGTTCAATATAGCTATGGCGTGGCCATATCGTAAAATTGACCATTTCATGAAATGTATCATCTATTGGTCAGATTATGATGTGCGTTGACCAAAACAATGATAACAAATCGTTTAATGATATGAACAGCTAAATGCCGGGCTACTTCCTGAAACGGTCAAGCACGTTTGATCCAATTGTAAAATAATTACATTTATTACCGATAGACGCGGTCCTTAATACCAAAGTTGTTTTTCGAAGTGAAAATTCTAATAGTTGTTAGATGAAGGAAGTGAGATCAAACGACGTTACGGGTTCTAGAGTACTATGCGAGTCATGCAAATACCGATCAAAACGTCAAAAACCGTGGAGGTCGGAGCGTGTTTCACAGGTTAGTACTTCACTCTTAAATTACATTATCGTTCACTTATTTGCAGTCAAAGTCGTGGGCCAGCTAAAATGTGTGTTTTTCTGTTGAACTATCATGTACAGTAGCGGACAAAAGTTTGGAAACATTCTTAGTAATTTTTAAAAAGTGTGCTAATTTTTTCTTCTTTATTATTAAGGAAAGATTCTCGGCACCCTCTTCTATGATTATTTTGAAAATCTGTGTGGCTAGCATTCATCATGGGACAAACGTTTAATGTAGCCGATCCAAAACATAATCGGTTTTTTCTGTCTTCCGCGTGTTGCTGTTGATCGGTATTCTTGATATTTACTAATAATGTTCGAAACAGTCCCGTTGTTCATTTTTAATCTTTGAAAAATGTCAACAATTCTGATACCACTTCTAAATAATTCAATTACTTTGTCTCTTAAATCTTTTGAAAACTCTTTTACTTTCGCCGTTCTCAATGATGTTAATATTTACCGCACGCAATCAGAGTAGCGCAGAACGAATAAATATGCAAAACTGAATTATTTGAAGACTTGGGTCGTTACAAAAACGCGGGTTTTAATTTTCAGAGAATTTGAATATTGATAAGATAAACCTTGTATTAGTACAGGAGCCAAAGGTAGACTTTAATATTTATATTATTTGTTCCTTCACAATTTTAATTTAGGTATATGAAATAGTTCATAATAATGTTAATATTTATTTATAAACTTTTGTCTGCTACTGTATGTAAAATTCATCGTACTTTTTATTTCATTTTTAGGTTAAACGACAAATACAGGAGAGTAGGGTGACCTCACGAAGTAACTTACTTTGTTTATTGAAAATGAATTTAAAATTTTATTTGTGACACGCTGTGCAATCTAAGAATGTTTCAATATAATTATTTATCTCAATTTTCTTAAGTTGCTAGTTTTAATGAAAATGGTTATCATACTTAAAGTTCATTACATATTCCAGATTTTCATTTAATTTTTTTTTGAATGTAGCAGCAGCGCAGGCAGAAGTCTAAATGCCAGGACACCGCAGATGCTATGGGAAACTTTATTAATCCGATTTTTGAACAGCCTAAGGTTAATAGAATAATTCATATTCTATGAACACCCTATTTTATGATGTGATCAATCGTGGATGACCAAATCATTAAAAGTTGGCGATTTAACGATATGACCAAATTTTGTAGGCCACTTTAATGAAATGGTCAATTCTACGATATGGCCACGACAGCTAAACAAGCCACCAAATGGAATTTCTTACCTCAGCTCTATCTTCATCTGTACTATTCTTCTCTTTTTTATCATCTTTCACGGACCCATCACTGCTCTTCACAGCACTACCTTCGTCTCTACTAAACATACTTATGTTTTCTTCCATTGGGCTTAGCAAACCATCTACCGACACACTGTTCTTCAGAGTTAGAGAAAGCATGTTATCAGTTCTCACGTTGTCGGTTTCGTCTATCGCCAACTGATCCAACTCTTCTTGGAGCAAGTTATTTCCTTCCTGAAAAAAAAATCATTGGTATCATTTTTTTTACTAGTTCACTTTAGATGGACATATCCCTCCAGAATATACTCAACCAAATTGAAATCTGTGCCTGCGCGAAAATAAGCATACTAGGTCTATAAATTAAGTGATGAAACTAATAACGTAGCGTTCGATCTGGCGACACTGGAGACGCCGGGCTTGGAGGGGGGTTAGGGGAACATCTGATCCGCCTTCAGTACAAGTTTGAACTCGCTCGAATCATTTGGTTGTCCGTAGCGATTTTCTTTGTGAAGCAGTTTTTCCTATTGTGTTCTAAAAATGAATGACCAATTCCCAGCAACGGTATGCGATCCAGGTTTTGCTTCAGACTTGGACACAGTGCAACGGAAACTCTTGGTAAACTTCAGCAGGTCTATGGAGAAAGTGTTTTGTCAAGAGCCCAGATTTTTCGGTGGTTTAAGGCAAATGCCTTCTGAAAATTCAGAAGGAAGAGATTGATGAGGTACTGACGATAAACCACGAAGCGGAAGGCCAATAAACGATGAAAATATCGACAGAATCCGGGATCTTGCGCGATCAGATCGTCGATTGACAGTCAGAATGTTTGAGGAAGAGTTAAATTTGACTCACACCGCCGTTCATCAGATCACGAACAACTGAGTGTTGAATTACAATAATGCTCCTTGTCGCACACCAATGCAAGCAGCAACCGACTTTTTGGTCAGTAAAACATTTCTCTGGCCCCTCAGCCTCCTTATTCGCCTGACTTGAGTTCTTGTGACTTTTTTCTCTTCCCGAAGTTGAAAAATCACCTCAAGGGAACTCATTTTGAGACAGTCGAAAACATTCAGACGACTGTAACCGACCAGCTGAAGGCTATTCCTCCTATGAGGAGTGGAAGTACCGTCTCAAGCGCTGTGTCACTTCAGAAGGAAACTATTTTGAGATTGACAATATAAACTGTAATTATATTTGAACAAATACATTAAAAAATATGAAGTCTTTATTACTTCTAAAGAGATGACTACGATCATACTTGGCCGTGAGGATAAAAATTGAATAATGTCCAAATACAGCACAGTTTTGGGCATTTTCTTGGAGAATTTTTGACTTTAGCCAAATATATTTCTTTTTATTGCCTGATGAACTACCTGGCTGGTAAAACCATTTGCAGGAGAGGAAGACTGACTATTGGTGACCGGTGTTAATGCAAAATGACTTTCCACAGGAGACTGTAACTTCTTGTCATCTTCCACAGGTTTATCTAGAGTTTTCTTCGGCGTAGTTTCCGTCTTAAAGCTAAAGTTTTCGTTTGTAATTGACAATGGTTCTTCTTGGTTATTGTTTTCCGTTTTTCTTTGTACTTGCTTTGCTGACCCTACAAAATAGAAGATATTTTCAGATTCCTATGTCACTCATAAATGACGAGTTCCGATGAGGAGGGACGTTTTCAAAGACAGACAGTTGTCAATCTAGTAAGCAGATCTGACATCCAATGTAGTCAGATACTGGTGGATCACTGTGAATCGAATACTGGAAGAAACTTACCTACAGCACCATTTTTTACAGTTCTGCCTAACCTCACAACCTTCTCTCTGTTCTTACAACCAAAATCTAGAATTCCAATATTTACAAATGTTAAGTATCCACAGTTATGCTCCAAATTTACTACTTCACTCAAACACTTCACTGAGCCATGATTGTGAAATAGTACCTGGAATGATTTTTTTAAAATATCAACTTCATGCTATACAGGGTATTCTGAAAGTTTGGACTTTAGTTTGCTTCTTAGAAAAATAAACAATTTTTAATAATAACATACAGTAGCGGACAAAAGATTGGAAACAAATATATATTAACATTATTATGAACTATTTCATAAACCTAAATTAAAATTGTGGAGGAACAGATAATATAAATATTACAGTCTACCTTTGGCTCCCGAACTATCTTATCAATATTCAAATTCTCTGAAAATGAAAACATGCGTTTTTTAAATACCACAGTTTTTATAACGGCCAAAGTATGGAAACATTTCAGTTTTGCCGTATTTATTCGTTCTGTGATACTCTGACATTGCGTGCGGTAAATATTAATATCAGTGAGAATGGCAAAAGTAAAAGAATTTTCAAAAGATTTGAGAGACAAAAAAAATGAATTACTTTGAAGTGTCAGAAATGTTGATATTTCTCAAAGATTAAAAATGAACAAAGGGACAATTTCGAAAATTATTAGTAAATTTCAAGAATACGAATCAACAGCAACGCGGACCAGGTGCGGAAGACCGAAAAAACCGATTATACATGTATTTTGGATCGCTACATTAAACATTTGTCCCATGAAGATCATCGAATGCCAGCCACACAGATTCTCAAAAGAATCGTGGAAGAGGTGCCGAGAATTTTTGTCAGACCAGTGCAGAGACGCTTGGTGGATTTTGGGCTTTTTGGTAGGCGTCCAGTGCAAAAGCCTCTCATTTCAAAAAAAAGATCGTATTGCTCGGTTTGAATTTGCTAAAACTCAAATAACTTGGACAGAAAAACAATAGAATACAGTTTTTTGGAGCGATAAAAGCAAATTTAACTTGTTTGGATCTGACGGTACGGCATATGTGAGACGTCCAATATGAAAAAGATTCGACAAAAAGTATCAGTTGCCAACAGTTAAGCACGGTGGAGGCAAAATCATGGTTTGGTGCTGTTTTTCTAGTTCTGGAAGGGGTCCAATTATTAAAATGGTTTGGAAAATGGATCAAAAACTTTAAACAGATATTCTTGGTGAACACATTGTCCCTTTTTCTGAATAAGAAATGCCTTTATGATGGACATTCCAGCAAGATAATGACCTCAAGCATACCTCAAAATTCGTAAAAAACTGGTTAATACTAAAACATGTTAATGTTCTTACATGGCCTTCGCAATACCCGGACCTAAACCCTATAGAACATCTCTGAGAGCATATTAAAAGACAACTGACAAGAAAAACTTTTAAAAATAGGATTGATTATGTAAGAAATATTTGGCAAAATATCCCAACAGACGTCTGTAAGAAATTGGTGTCTTCTATGAGCAGCAGATGTCAGGCAGTGTTGAATGCTTTAGCATTTAAGCTATGCTACCAAATATTAGCTCAACAGTATTTTTAAAATCTTTTTGTAGAGTTGTATCCAATTTTGTAATAAAAACCATGTATCCACACTTTTATCTTCTCATTTTCGGTCATAAAATAATATGAAGGTATTTTATTGCTAGTCTGTAGTACCACAGCAAACACAAATTGTCATTTGGATCCTCAAGACTAAGCAAACTATATGAGAAAAAAAATAGTCCTTAATAATGAAGAATAAAAAGTTAGCACACGTTTTAAAAACCACTAAGAATGTTTCCAAACTTTTGTCCGCTACTGTACACAAAAGAATTAAGATAATCAAATTATTAAGTTCCAAAAATCTGCTGGGTTAAATTTGGCCATGCCTTCTAACAAATAATTAGCTGAAAAGATACGTTGCGCGTCAGTAATCAACCCAAGCGTCGCAGGTAAACAGAGCTGTTTGTTTACAAGTTGGATTTGAAAGAAAATAAAAATGGCATGCTCCTACAGCTATAACGAATCTGTTGGTGCTGGTTACGTACAAAATTTAATGGAACGGGAACAGGAACAGGTACAATGAAAAACTTGTTTTTTTATCGAACGGCGAAAACTTTGGACAGCCATACAGACCGGTACTTATAATCTCTTATAAAATAGACGATGACTTCCTCAAATTTTTGTTTTGTTTTTTCACTGTTCATTTACCACACATTAGCTTTGTTATTTCAAGCGTAGTTGTTCAAGAAAAGGAAAGCCCCAACTTTTAAAATATCCTTTATTGTATTGTATTCCGTCAAATAAAAGCCTTCAATGAATGATGACATGCAAGGCGATTGACACACGCTCAGTATTTACTGTGATCCGTCGGTATTTATCATGGAACGTGATATTTATTGATCTTCATGAAACTCACCTCATTAGGCCTGTTATTTACACTCTTTTTGAATGGAAATGGAACCACTTGTGTTTCCGCAGGTCGCATAACGCCATACGCTTGTATGAGGACAGATGCAAATTGCAGAGTAGCATTCACATACAAAATATTGGCGATTGGAATGACTGCTGGTTCATGCAACCAAGATGTCACCAGAAGTCGACTAAAGCCTACAAGTAATAAAAACTGATGAATATGTTACTCATCCATACTTCAAGAAAAAAGACTACTACAGGTTTTTAACTTTTTCTTATCAAACAGGTTAGTAATATAGCTTTCGTCCATCTGGCCTCAGACGACCAACCCTGGACAGTTGTTTTGTGCTATCTGGCAACTCCTCAGCATGGCCTAGGCTTGGTCTCAGGTAGGACTACGAATGAAAGCTGAGCAACTATCCGACACGAGTTTTGCTAAAAACGGAATTTCAACAGTGCGCAACTTATTCTACCAACAAAATCCAACCAATATTGTATTCCGGCAATCAAAGGGATCTGAAAGAAAGATCTATGGGGCATTAGAAGAGTTGAGGTGTCGGTTCCCCTAGTGCCTGGTACATGGCGCTGGATCTTCAGTCCCTTTGCGAAGCCTCGCTAATTCCAATCTTAATTGGGTATCATCAGACATTCATTAACGTATTCCACCTGAAGATTCAATTAGAATAATGCTATTGAGAGGTGCCAAAAGGGATTGAAGATCCTAGCGCAATCTATGAGCCGGTAGCAGAACCAAACTGCTACTATCTCTTAGATGGCGCTGGGATCTTTCGTGTCTCTTTTTGGCCGCTGGTTGGTTTGCTTCAGTTTTAACCTTGCCTTGAAGATGCTAATATAGTGAACGAAAAACGTTTAGGGTACTGAAAAATCGTTTTGCTGACTGGTAAAATTTTGTAGTGGTCATATAGTCGCTACATCATAGGCAAAATGTTACTGACCTAAAAACATTCGTGGCAGTTGTTTTAATGTTGTGCCCTTTGTGAGAAGTAAAGATGGTGGTCCATAGCCAGTCATGTGGTACAAAAACATTTTGAACCACAAGCTGTTGACTTCAGGTACTGCAGGGCCAAGATGTGGGGGAGATAAACTGGTAACTGGTCGAACTTCTCTACTCAGAGGAGCCATGGAGACTAGTAACCTAACATAAATAAAAAATGGCAACATTCAGTCGATGCAGTGCTTTCACCTTAGTACTATTTGCACCCAAAACTTTTCAAAGATTCAAACGATGTTGATAAAATTACAGATTCTCAAACACGACAAAGAAAATATGGGGTTGTCCAAAACGGACGCAGGAAAGTAAACGCATATTAAAACAAGAAAGATTGATATTCAAATCAAGTTGGGTACTTTATTTTGAAGGTTCATTTATACCATTTATCTATGAAAAATAATATCGCTCAAATGTTCAGCACGACTGGATTTACAGACGTCCACGCGATGGTCGAAATTTTCAATGACATTTTGCAACATGGTCGGTTCTATGGCATTTATCTCGGCAATGATGTTGTTTTTGAGTTCTTGGAGGGTGGCTGGTTTGTTGACGTAGACTTTGCTTTTCAAATATCCCCATAAAAAGAAGTCCAAAGGAGTCAAATCGCACGATCTTGGTGGCCATGGCACATTTCCTCTGCGCGAAATCACGCGATCACCGAAGAACGACTGCAATCGATGGATATTGACGTTGGTTGTGTGGCATGTTGCACCGTCTTGTTGGAAATAAACATCGTCCATATCCATTCCTTCAAGTTGCGGCAAAAAATATTCCTCTATCATCACGTGATATCGCTCAGAATTGACGGTAACGGCGTCCCCGGCCGCATTTTCGAAAAAGTAAGGTCCGATGATGCCTTTTGACCACAATGCACACCACACAGTCACTTTTTGAGGATGCATCGGCTGCTCTTGGTACTCACGGGGATTTTCGTTCGTCCAGATGCGGCAGTTTTGCTTGTTTACCGTCCCAGTCAAAGTGAAATGCGCTTCGTCGCTGAACATGATTTTTGATGAAAAATTGGCATCAATTTGGCGGTGTTCAAGGAGCCAATCTGAGAACGTTCGGCGCGAAAAATGGTCGGCCCGACGCAGCTCTTGTGTCAATTGGATCTTGTAGGCGGGTACAGTCAAGTCCTTGTGGAGAATGCGGAGCAAACTGGTTCTCGAAATGCCCAATTCTTGGGATCGACGCGTTGTTGATTGTTTCGGATCGTCTTTCACACTCTCCTTCACAACAGCAATATTTTCCGGTGTGCGAACGCTCCTTGGCCGGCCCGAGCCTGGCAGATTTGCCACAGAACCTGTTGCCTCGAATTTACGCACCAGACGAGCGATGGTTGTTTCGTTTGGGCGGTTGTTGCGACCGAAATGTTCACGAAGCGCGCGAAACGTGTTTTTTATTTTTGAACCATTTTTGTAGTGCGCTTAAATAACTTTAATGCGGCCTTCAATCGAATACGACTCCATAGGGATCAATGGTAAACATTCAACTAACAAAATGACATGTCGGTGACAGAAAACAAAGATGGCGTCTATGTCAAATTGACGGTTACTTTCCTGCGTCCCTATTGGACAACCCTTTATGATCAAGAATAACAAGTGGAATAATTGCCACATGAATTTTAAACAAAAACTATATTACTTACTTGTACTTCTTTTGTAACAATCTGGAACATGTAGCCTCATCTAACGAGTGCAGGCTTTCTAATCTTACTAAATCTAAACCTGGACCTGGTAATTTCCTCAGTGCCAGCACTGTGGATCTTAGGATTACAGCATGATCAAAGAACCTTCTTGCCTCACCTGCAAAACAGCCACACAATAAGCGTTTATTCCCGTTCAATCTCTCGGTATACACACATATAGAATGAATCTTGTCAGGAAAATTTAAATGCAAGTTCAATACGCAAAAATATTCCACATAAACATAGCCTTTGTGTCTCTTGAACTTTTGATTCGATTGTTGTTTTTTTAAGTGATAAACAAATGAAATGGTACATCTTAATCTTAAATAATGTGGTGTACTGTTTATTTTTCGCTGAGCATAGACTTGCCGCCACGGACTTCAATAAACATCTAAGGATATGGCATAACGTCTTTGGTCACGGGATCAGGCCAAGATTTTTAGTGTGCAAAACTGTCAAAGTGACATGCGTTTATATTTTGCTCAGCTTACAGGAGATATTTCTTTTTTCGTACACCAATTTCATCGTTATTTTTTGTGTTCTATTGAAAATAAACATGGTTTTTTGTGCCTTGCTGATGCGTTGTACGCTATATGGTATGGATACCAAACAATCGTTAGACATAACGTTTTATAGGCCAGTGTGCAACTCAAGGCAGACCTGTGTCAATAGTGATACAAATGTATCATCCTTGGCTATTAAAATTTCACGAATTTAAATATCCCGATTTATGAAAACTAGGCATTCCTGGACTGAGAACCAAATTTGTTTGACGGCTTGAGCTCAATGTGTACGAGAGAGAAGTGTGTATAGACACATATGTGAGAAAGAGATAGAAGCCGGCTGGATAGCGAAGCTGATCACAGTGTTGCCTGGCAACGCTGACGCGGCAATCTGCCGCGTTGCCAATATGTTCACCAGTTTCCTGACTTAAGATGCATGTTGAAAATATGCGCTAGTTTTTTCAAGTACGCCCAAATCATAGTTTCACTAGCGGCGTACACAGTTTTGAATTGTAAATTGTGTCGAATCTGTTTAGAGTCGATTCCGTATCGGTCCTAACGGCGCTCCGTTTAAGGTCGAAATGAAAGGTCAGGATCGCCACAAATTCAGCAACATCACATCATTGGTTCACTTGGGCAACACCGCATCTCGTTCACTCAAAGGCTAGGTTTCCACCTCCATGATCTTACATGAACGGTTTTGGTCAGTACCCATCCAGCGCTCATTGGGGGAAGTGTCGAACTGGTTTTCACCCACGTACAAGCACAAACTATTAAATTAAATGGCCTCTTTCTTAGATTTGACAGTAACCTAACCCATTAAAGAACCCTGTGCGGACATTTTGTGGTGTAACATATTGGCAACGCGGCAGATTGCACGACTTTCGCTAGACAATGTCGTGAAGACCTTTGCTCTTGAACTTGAACTCAAGCCATCAGACAAATTTGGTTTTCTCTGTATATGAATTTTTAATCATATCCTAATGTATGTGTATAACAAGCATGCCTTGCTTTCGTCCGTCCGACCAATGATAACCAATCATGGACAGCTGCTTCGTGCTTTTTGGCTACTCCTCAGCATCGTCTAGGGTTGTGTCTCTAGGACAACGTATGAAAACATACCTTCGCGCTGTTTTATCTCGATAGCCTAATGTGTTGAATCTGCCTTGTAGCCTTAATTTATCCTGACAAATTCAGTTACGCCATGTATAGAAAGGTAGCCTTTTCCTTGAAAAATATTCTACCTAATGTTGAAGAGAGAATGAGTCTGAAAAAATGCGTTTTTTATCTTTTGGCAAAACTTCTAACATTGCAGAACTCATCGCGAGGATTTTGATTATGGCACAGCTCATCCAATTTTGAGACATAGGTGTACTTATAACTGACTCGGTCATTTCAAAAACCACTCAAGCCCTAAGCCTGTTTCATGCTAAAACATTATTTTTCGCTATTATTATTGGTAAACTGTGAAACATGTTTGACATTTCTGTCTTTTAAAACACGTTTATTTATGAATAACACACTTTTTATGGATTCCAGAAAAATTCTAATTGTGTTTCATATGAGGTTTTTGAAATAGCCTATTCATTTGTGGCCGTCTGTTCGTCCAGTTATACCTTCTCCTTCTGCGTCCAAAACAGACACCTTCTCCAACTCGGCCAAAAAGCTGTCCAGACTCTCGTCACATAGCTTGCCCACCTCGAACATGGTGACTGCATGTCTCTTCAATCCTGGAGATAAGTTGCCCATCATTAAAAACGCGGTCAGAGCAGAATCAAACAGGAAGGCAACTCTACGTCCAGATCGAGTAGTCGACGCAGCTGGACTGTCTGGGGGATCAGGTAGTCCTGTCGGGGATGAAGGGATTGGCGAGGTATGCGTAGGGGTAAGGGCCAAGGTTAACGGAGTAATATCCATGTTCCTGAAAATAAAATTATAGATTTTGACAACCAAACAAGGTTAAGAGTCCTTTCTTATGGACTCCATTGCGACATCGCCACTATACAAAGGCAAACTAACCTATTGACACGCTGTGGACGTGGCCACGGCGTTCCGCTGAGGGAGAGCTCTATATAACTGATCCATGGTCAATTTTGCAATAAAACATCCAACAAATGATAAGTTTTTACACCGAAGTAGCAGCGCAGAGCACCACGGGTGCTATGAGGAGCTTAAGAAAACTTTGTTGTTGTGTAAGTAGAACTGAGAAAAGCCTTCTCACGTAGATTGTTCCATAATCTAGATACCCTACGGACAAAGCACCCATTTCTAGATGTTATACAGTTATAATGGAAGACTGTAGTCAGGTGGGTCTGTCTAGCAGACACATCACGCGGCTGCATCATGGAGTAGAGTTCTGAGAAGCAAAGCCCACTGGCATAGCGGTAGAATAGAGCTAGATCGCCCGACGGCTCGCCGGTACGGAAGGGTCCCGAGCCTGTCGGTTAGAGAAGAGTCATCGATCAATCGAACGGCACTCCTCCGAATAGCACCGAGCATGGATAATGTAGTCGAGGCAGCAACACCCCTTTCATGTGAGCAATACTCGAGGTTAGGTTTTATCTGGGCCTTGTATAGAGTGAGGAGGTCATGTGGACAAAAAGACTTCTTAGCCCTAAACAAATACCCTAGCTTTTTCCCAGCAGCTGTCGCTATTAACGAGATTTTTTCTTGCCAGATCAAGTCCTCGGTGATCTGGACTACGACCAGCCGAAATGAACGGCTCTTTGGCAGAACTCGGCCATCCATCGAAACCGGATGCGCGCTAGGACGCTTTTTGTTAGTCAAGGTATAGTACTCTGTTTAGGAAACATCAAAGTGTAAGCTATATGATACACCTAAGTGAATTTTCACAAAAAACAACCTGAAAGCACTTGCACTTCATCCTGATTTAAACGTCGTAGTGTTGCTTTTGCTTTCTCACTGAAGCAACTGGCAGCCCTGTTTCCAGGTTGTGGTCAAAGCTGTACACTTACTAATAAAGCGAAATATAAATTAACCACTTTTGTTATTAAAACACCTCATTTGAATAAAAATCATTCAAGTTGTATTTCACAAATAAAATCTAGCGAGATCAACCACCACTAACTTGTTTGACACACTTCTTGCATAAACTGTACCGTTTCTATAAGGTTTTCAACACCTCTGCTCCACTTTGAAGAATATAAAAACGCGATAGATAAGTATTTTTACACTATTATCAATATTTTTTTTTGTGGATACAGCTAGAACCACAACCGACGTCAGGCGTAGCTGAAGTATAACAGTGAAATTCACAGATTACATCTACCATCAACTGGTGAGCACTGCAAGCCGACTAGCGACGACAATGCCAGCAATCGCTGATCAACTGGTCTATTTGCCGTCTCTTTGATGTGAACGTGATGTGCCGAGTTGCCACCTCAAAGCTTGTGTTTTCAAATCTGTTGCTGCGAGTAGTGAGGGTTTAACTTCCTTGTCAGAATAACTGTAACACCGTTACAGATAATGAGGGTTAATCAAAGTTCCGCTGCAAGTTGGACTTTGAAGGCGTGGCCCCAAGGTTTCGGGGGGTACCAGGTGCAATTCCAGAGGTGCTCTCTGGACTCATCGTTATGTTCAGGAAGTAAATGACAAGACAAAAAAAAACGGTTCTTTTCAGAGCCACTAGTTTATGTTCAATGAAAAAAGATTATCTGTTAGCCCTAGTGGCAATTTCATAAGAGAGTTGAAAATTCATAATCTCTTGAAAAAAATGGTACTTTTTAGAGCCACTGATTTATGTTCAATAGAAAAAGATTGTCTGTTAGCCCTAGTGGTAATGTCATTAGAGACTTGGAAATTCATAATCTCTTGATAGTGGCAAATAGACTTCTAGACACAATAGCGACGATTCCCTTGCACCACAAGAATAGAACTGTACATCTTTGTGAGTGGAAGATGGTCTTTGTTGAGTAAAGAGATACTACCCAGTGGATCTCAATCAATGACGTCTTCGATCTCAATAATAAAGCAAGAAATCTGCATGTTGAGCATCTGGCTGCCCTCATAAGGGGCCACAGGTTGACCCTCCATTCCCCATAGAACCCCTATAGCCTCATTATCTCATCCACAAATAAAAATAGTATCCATGTTACTGAACAATATTTAAAAACTAATATAGTGCCATTCAACTTTACAGTAATGAGAAATGTTTATATTGAAAATCATTGACAACTCACTTATCATTCTGAACAGGAATATTTGTCCATGATGGATGCCATTTCCTTTCCTGCTCATCTTGATTCAACTTCCTGGCAAACTGCAGCCTACAATATAATGACACTGCCTGTTTTACCAACTCTGTCTCTACTTCTAACACACTGGCAAGCTGAAATGAATATTTTGTAAACCATTCAAATAAGAATTTGGTCAGCATACCTCTCCTACTGTTGTGTGTTCATCTATTGACACAAATATTTTGTACAGCAAAGTTTCAAAATAATCACCCAGAATTCTGTTCATGACAAAACCTTGCAATGGAGGTACTTGTACTCTATCAGCTCCAGTTATGGGTACATCTAAGTAGATTAAGCCTTTCCTAGAAGAGAGATTATATTTTGTACATCATTCGACATGATTAAAAAAACAAGATTACAAACTGTGTTTTCTGCACTAGTTTTTATGATAATTATATATATGGCTAGTATTATGTTATCGCATTTAAATACATATAACAATGAAGAAGAAACTGCTAGTGACTTAAATAACTCATGTCAAGTAATAATTTGTTTAACTTACTTATATAATGAAAGAACAACATGATAATCTAAATCACCAGCATTTTGGGAACCATAATCTATAAGTTTGTCAAGGAGTGCTAGCTCTTCTTCATTCACCATCTGTAAAACATTTTTCTATTATCCATTTATTATTAATAATAAAACAATGGGTGTAAATGGATTTTCAAGATGTCACATCCTCCTGAAACTCACCTATTCAGCTGAAATCGCCAAAAAAAAAAAATATTTCATATATTAATAATAATAATGATTTATTCACATCAATTACATATTAAACATAAAGAACTTACTTTAACATCTTCCTCTAGCACAAGTCCTATTTCGACTCTCCACCAAGGTTCTATATGAATATCACATGGTACTCTAGGTAACAAAATTCTAACATTCTTCCTACCAAACAGCCTACCTCTATTGGAACGGGATTTATTCATCAGTTCAATATACTCATTGCGACCTATACCCAATAACCTTAAACCTAAAAGTATATTGCATGTAAAAAAGCCTGTTCATAATAATAAAATGTGTCAAGTGATATATTAATATAATAAATGTTGTGTTTTGATAGCACTCTGTGATCACTGATTTGTTTACAGTATATTTCATGATAATTCATTATGTGAAACATGACTGCAAATAACATCTAGGAACATTCTGAATACCCCATATCAACAAGTTACATACAACTTTGACTAATCTGTCAATGCTAGATCTGTAGACAATCATATTTTGTTTTGGTAATTTTTATGCTGTTATTTAGGTTTCAATGGGCTTTACATGACAGTTTGAAAATCTTAATTGACTTATAAATTATTATTATTCAACTATCTTGTTCACTGCCAATGAAGCTGTATTCTCAAAATTACAAGTCCTGCAAAATAAAGCTATGAGAGTAATATTGAATAAAAATAAGCACACCAAAATAAAATCTATGCTATTAGAATTGCAGTACTTGAATATAAAAAAATTCATATAATATTTGGTTCTTATTTTGATATTTAAAATAAAAAAGAACACTACATAGAATTGAATAATCATTACCACAATTATTATACACAAATCAAAGGATTACTTGAATTTAATAAACCAAATAATGATATAAGGTCTACTTGTAATTTAAAGATGTTTTAAGGACCTGTATTTCATGCACAGTGAAAATTCTTAGAGATTCAAATTTTGTTTTTCTAGATATCTGTGTTATGTAATTGTTGTAGTTTCATGCTAAATAAATCTTGCACAAATAAATAATGTTATCTAAAACAACTTAAATTGATTATGTGAAAGTTGCATGTTATGTTTTCATTTATGTTTATTGTACATTTACATCTTTGATTGCTCCACTAGCAATTTGTACTTAGTAAAATAAACTTTATTATTTAAATGAGTTCATATATACAAAAGAAAAACGATGCAAGCAATGTGGCTGTGAATGAACATGATAATTTTCAAATCAGCTAAGAATAAATCAAAATAAACAGTTTTCGACTATGTCAATCATCTCTACTTTCTGAATCTGTTCCTGAATTTCAACCCATTTATTATTTAACAGTATAGATTTTAACACTAAGATATTCTTGCTGATCAACTTTTTACCTTGATAGATGTCAAAATGTAATGAAATATCATGAAAAGTATTGTAAGATCACTGGCACATTTACATAGACAAGATACTTACAATCAGCTGCTGTAAAATTAGGCAATGTATCATAACTTTTTTCTGCAAGCATTAACTTCTCTACAACCAAAATATAATAGTTGAATGGTGTCATCCTTAAACCTTTCACCACCATATCAGCTAGGTGATATGGAAACAGCATAAGCTTTTCCCTACTATAGCCAATAATATGCTCATAATACCGCTTCTCATCTCTAAAGACATGACGAACTGCAAAAGTGACACTACTATAGAAATATATCCTAAATAGCCAGTACAACTCAAATAATTTTGCATTGAAGTGGTTGTACCATACTAATGATCTTGCCCACTTTCAAGTAGAATCCCAAATGGTGCAAAGGATCCAATGAAGAATTTTACTAAATCTAAATCACTCACCTAGGTTTCCTCTATATCGAAGCTGATTCTTTATGCTGAAATTCACTACATATCGGTCATACTCCTTAGAACTATTGCCTAAAATCTGAAATATAAACATTGCATTGTAACATCAACAATGAAATGTTCAGCAGCTTACATAAATATAAAAATAACTCATTTCACACGAACCAATAATCACCCATATAAAAGATGTAGCGATATTTGCTTTATTTAAGTTTAGGAACACGCTGGATTACGTATTGTTGATAACATGTTTACACAAAGTTTCTAATCTGGTGGGTGCCAGGAGTTAATTGAATTACCTGTTTAAGATGTGCTGGAAGATGAGCCCAAGTAACATTCTTCCTGATGTTATCTTCAACTTCTGCATTCATTTTTGCGTCAAGAAACCATTGAACATTTTAAAATTTCTGCTGAAAACCACTTTATGACTTTATTGTAGTAATGTGTTTGGAACAGATTGTTTGGAATGAAAGCGAATGTCAAATTTCGAATGACAGACGTCATTTTTCTAACAACATAAACATATAATATGGGACTAGCCAATGAACAAAAGATTGGTTAATCATGTGATTCTTAAATCCCGCCTTATTTTCGTATCTCCATGGTTAAAATCTGTAACAACAGAGTTGTAACAAAAATATTTGACCAATATGATAAATACAAAAATATACAGGGTGTCCGCAAGTTGGGTTTTTCCTTTTCAGACACAACTACGCTTGATATAACAAAGCTAACGTGTGGTGAAACGTGAGCGAACAAGTAAAAAAAAATAAATGCAAAAGTACTCACTGTTCAGTTGAATTGAAATTCCAAGTACGGCTCTGTCGTAAAATCCTTGGAGCACATCAAAAATAACAAAAAACAGATCGAAAATATGACGTCAGTGTCACTTTTTCTTGGTGAACGTATTTTATATGTACTGTTCGAAGTTGTCGTGTTGGATTCAAAAACACATGTGCGTGCTCGACGTAGCCAAGCATCCGTGTAGGCTTTTACTTCCCCAAATGAATGCAGCATCTTCCTCAATTATCAGACGTAATTCGTCAACCGTGTTTAGCTTTGTACACCAAGCGTTTCATTTCGTCCCAAAGAAAAAAATCACATGATGTTAAGTCTGGAGATCGCGGAGGCCATGCTACGGGTCCATTACGTCCGATCTACATATTCGGAAATGATTCATTTAAGAACTCATGCACTTCGCGTCTAAAATGGGGCGGTGCACCGTCATGGAGAAACCACATCGATTGTCTTACACTCAAAGGCACATCTTCTAACAGAGTTGGTAAAATGTTCTGTAAAAAGTATAGGTTTTGTATCCCGTCCAACAGATTCCCATACCATGCCAGCTTTGTTGAAAGTGTGACCGTCGGACAGCGTGAGGATTCTCTACTGACCCTACATTGAGTATTGCGGAAGTTATTCGCCCGGTTAAGCGTGAACGTGAATTCGTCTGCGTCTAATATGCACTTCAATAAGTCATCATGCAGCGTTTGCCACACTTTAGTCTTCGACACTTGCACTTGTCTGGCCACGCCCCTAGTGCTTGTTGAAGGATTCTCGTCTATGAGATTCAGTACTTTTTCCACAGTTTGCACCATTCGGGGTTGTCTAGGTCTCCCACTGTGCCCCCCACGACATTCCTCCAAGCGACCCGTATCCCGAAGTCTCTGCACAAGGTAAACAAATCTACCGCACCTTGAATGACGGTCTGTATACACTCGCGAAGCCTCGGTCGCATTTTGAAGACACCACCGTAAATTAAGAGCATGTCGACTAGTGCGCTACTGGTGTATGAGTGTGCCATTTTTTTATTATTTGAATAGCAATCGGTTACTAATGTAATGGTTTGTTGACCTACACTATCGGCGTCTAGGTTAGGTTGCATACTAGCGTATTTACATCGTAGTTGTACGTCGTATAACTGTACGCTGGCGCTGTGGGCGTGATCGAGGGATAGGACCGGCTTCGGTTTGGTTCAGGTTTGATTGAGTTTGCGAAGCCAATGTCTCGGTTCTCTTAATACATTGGTGTATATGCTACTAAGAAAATCAGCAGACCTACACGTCGTGTAAAGGAAATCCCCAACTTTGCGGACACCCTGTATTTTCAGTCGCATTAGCGTTAAGAGAGTATGTACTTCATGATTTTTTTTTCGTATTGCACATAATTATACAAGCAGACACGAAATCTGACCACCGCCTAATACACAATCGGGACTGCTAGAGAAGTTTTCTTTAAAATACACGTATTTAAAATACTTGAATGATGTAAAATGAAACAAACAGCACGAATGAAACATATATTTCTAAAAAAAGTACGAGATTTTCCTTACCATCAGTTAGCCCTGTTTTCTATCACATGTCCTTAACATTACGTATTTTTCCTATAAGGATTAATTAGTACATTGTGCTACCATCAAACGAGAGATAGTAAATAGACATCACAGAAAATTTCAAATATAAATTTTGATTAAATTATTTACCGACCAGCATCCTTTTAGGAAAAACATCGGCTTAAAATGTAGATTATAATATAAAATTGTATACAGAGGCAAATATAAAGAGCATACATAATTTATTCACAGGTCCGAGAAACAACGTCAGTCTGAAGTAGAAAGACAAATCAGTCTATAAGTACTTGTAAACAATAAAAATGCACCGTTCATTAAAGATTTTCCAAACTTCACAGTTGAGTGTGGTTCTACCAAAGAGAAGGTATACCAAGAGAAAACAGATAAGACGAATAAAATTAAAGAGAGATCGACTGACGAACACAATTTGAATGAACGAAATGACGTTTAACTACGTGTTGTTATTTGGTATTTGATAATTCTCTATGAATGAATTTATTGTCAATCACTCTTGTTTAGAGTGTTCAGACATACATTTATTCATGGAGGGTACCGTGAAATGGGGTGAATAGAAACTGCTGGGTGAATAGCAACAAAAACGGGAAACTTCTTTTAAAAAAAATCAACATTGGAATTAAACCTCCCAACGCTTCAAATTTGTTCTCAAACGGTCAACAGATGTCGCCATAACTGCTTTAACAGGCCAAAGATGTTTTATGCTGGCAGCCCTGATTGCAGTAGCAACCACCCGTCGGAGTGAACACATGAGCCTTTTTTATCACTAGCAAAACTTTATTCACAGTGGTTAGCTAAAGGTAAGACATTGAGTTTTTGGTTAAAGTAGCTTTAAGGTGTCTGGTTCACATTGCCTATTTCAGAAATTGCTTGTCTTGCTTATTTTTTTTGCTATGGTGTAATATAATACATAACCACACTTTTAAGTAATTTTGGGGTGAATAGAAACACGCTGTTTCTATTCACCCGCTGTTTCTATCCACCCCATAACTGTTTTTTCTTTTGCAGGAAAATGCCTCGCGTTTATAAACCAGACCATCGAGGTAAAACATATAAGAAAATTGATGAAAAAACTCTAAAAATAGCCCTTGCTTCAATTGACAACGGGATGAGTTATAGAGTGGCTCACGAAACATACAACATTCATTATTCTGTGCTTTATCGGCACCACAAAAACCGAAATCTGAAGCTTCATGGAGGACAAACAGCCCTAACCAAACAAGAAGAAGATATTTTAGTCCATCAACTAATAGTTTGTTCCGATTGGGGGTATCCACTTGACCATTTGGACGTCAGGATGATGATAAAAAATTACCTAGACAGTAGAGGTAAAACAATAACGAGATTTAAAGATAATATCCCTGGCAGAGACTTTGTCTATTCTTTTTTAAAACGTCACAAAAATGAATTAAGATCTAGAATCTGCCAAAACATCAAGCTCTCAAGAGCTGCTGTTTCTCCCAATACTATCAATGCTTATTTTGACAATTTAGCCACGGAGTTGAAAAATGTACCGCCATCAAACGTAGTAAATTACGACGAAACAAATTTAACTGACGATCCGGGTAGAAAGAAAGTAATCTCGAAAAGGGGCTGTCGCTATCCAGAACGTATTTGCAATACGTCGAAGTCAGCCGTTTCTATTATGTACGCTGCTTCAGCTGATGGAAAATTTTTCCCACCATACGTGGTTTACAAAGCTAAAAATTTGTATACATCTTGGACAGTTGGAGGACCAAAGGACGTCAGATTTAATAGAAGTCCATCAGGTTGGTTTGATGCGATTTCCTTCTCAGATTGGGTAGAGAGCACTGTCATACCTGCAGTAAAAAATCTACCGGGAAAGAAGTACTTAATTGGCGATAATCTGAGTTCACATTTTTCTGCAAGTACGGTATCTCTTTGCGAAGAAAATAATATTTCATTTATATTCCTCCCGACTAACTCTACTCATCTGACCCAGCCTCTGGACGTGGCATTTTTCCGGCCTCTTAAAACAGCCTGGCGACAGATCCTTGAAAAATGGAAAATGGGGGCTGGTTCAAAGCATTGCACGGTTCCAAAGGACAGATTCCCTTTCTTGCTAAATGACTTGTCAAAGGCTATTGAGCCTAATGCTGGAAAAAATATACAATCTGGCTTTAGAAAGTGTGGAATTTTTCCACTAAATAGGGATCAAGTCTTGGGACGCCTTCCGCAGCAAAATCTTGACGAGACAAATGATGAGAATCAGAACATTGAAGAAGGACTTAATAACTCTTTGGTAAACCTTCTAAGAACAATGAGATATGGCGATGGTCAAAATGTGAAGAGTCGACGTCGTAAAATTCAAGTTCCTGCTGGCAAAAGCGTTACAAGTGCAGATTTTGAAAGCACGTTGGATAAAGACGATCAAGAGGATACTGATTTGGAAAGAAGTATGGAAACCTTAGATGAAGATTCAGACCCGGAAATGAATTTGCCCCTTATTAATTTCATGCCAATAATGGCAAAAGCTCAAGATCATTCTTCAAGTGAAGACTCTGACATGGAAAAAGATCAAGATCATTCTTCAGATGCAGACTCAGAAATGGACACTTCACTACCAAGTTTCACCGATAAGTCCGAGAATAAGTTGGATACAAATAATTCATCAGCATCAGTCTGCTTTGAGGGTAAATTGTTTCGATGTGTTTCTCCTATTTCGCTTGATTTAATAGATAAAGGAACTTGGCTTCTGGTGTGTTTTCCAACAAAATATCGAAATAGACAAAGAAATAAATATTTTATCGGACAAGTCATTAATATTACAGAAAATGACATTGAAGCCACTTTCTTAAGAAGTCGCCCCACCAAACACTCGTCAGGATATATTTATGGATTTCCAGAAGTTCCGGATGTTTCCACCTTTCATTTTAGCCAGGTTGTTGGAGAGGTTTTCCCAGTTCATGACGAGATAGAAGCATCTACGTCAAGAAGAGACATTTTAAAATTTAATTGCATCAAAGTTGTTTAATTTAAATAATATGTTTAAACTTGTTACATTTCTATAGAAATAAATGTTTTTTTTTGTAAAATTGGTGTTTTTGTCAGTTTTTTTTTGTGTATTTATATTTTTTTATCAATTTAAAATTTTTTTCAGGTTTTTCTATTCGCCTTCGTGTGGGTAGAACAGCAAATTTGACCAATTTAAATGGGTGTTTCTATTCACCCCACATTAAGGGTGAATAGAAAAAGAGCGTTTTTATTTTTTATTTGGAAAACCCCCTATTTAAAAAAAAATCTATTATGCGCTTTTTGATCTACAAGTCGAGACCTGTAGATTCCTTATTTTTTGTTGTCAAAAAGGTGACTACCATGTTAGCAACAGAGTAGGAAAGGTCCGAAACTGTTTCTATTGACCCCATTTCACCGGTATATGGAGTGATTCACAAGTCGTGACCAAAAATGAAACCTCATACACATGATAGCATCTTAAGGGTGGTCTTCTATGTGACATTTTTTCCTGGAGGGTTTCATAAAAAGATACGGGGATTGAAGTTTAAAAATTAAAAAACCTTTTTTTGAATATCTTCACAACCGTTAACTGGAATGAACTAAAATTTTTGTATGTAAATTTTCGTAAGACTTGTCCACATTCAAGTATTTACTTAAAATTAACGTGCACCAGTGGCGGAGATATAGGGGATTAGTGGCATTATTTTTCCAAATAAAAATAGTACGCTTGTGTTTTTTTCTGGAGTGCATTCTTTTTATTTTTGAACTTCAACTTCATCTTTTTAATGGAGCCCCTGAGGAAAAATCTTACATAGAAGAACCCCTTAAAATGCGGTCGTGTGTATGCTGTTTCTTTTTTGGTCACGACTTATGAATCACCAGGTATTTATCATCCATTTGCAGTCCAAAAAATATAATTATCTTCAATTCAATATGCACATAGTTGCACATTGGAAAATACTTATGCAAGTGTATCGATCAGACCAATCTCAAAAGGTGTCAAACACTTTATTGATATTATATGGAATCATGATATAAAATTAAAGTAACGGGTGATTCATTCAGTAGGTACTTTTTTGGTGTGGCTGTAATTGCTTATGGCGCATGCGTCATGACAACTAATTTGACATTTTCTGTTTCAGTAGTGATCGACATTTCATCATGGAAAGACTTAGTCCAGCACAGCGTCTACAAATAATTCAGCTGTACTACGAAAATAAACGTTCTGCGAGAAGTGTGTTTCGTGCACTTAGAGCAACTTATGGTGTACATAATCGGCCCACCGAACGCACAATTCGGCGTACGGTCGAAAAATTTGAAACCCAATTTTCATTATTGGATAAATACCCCGACCAAATAGACCACATCCAGCACGCAGTGAAGAAAATATAGCTGAGAGTATACGTGAGGACCGTGAAGAATCTATTCGGCGCCGTTCTCAACAGCTTGGCTTGTCGTATTCAACAACTTGGCGTATTTTACGTAAGAATCTTAATTTGAAACCATACAAAATTCAACTCGTTCAAGAATTGAAGCCGGCCGACCTTCCAAAGCGTCATCGTTTCAGTCTTTGGGCTCTTTTTTCGCTTAATGGCTACGTTAATAAACAAAACTGTCGTATTTGGGGTGAAAAACAACCCGAAGTGGTTCAAGAGCTGCCATTACATCAATTGAAAACAACGGTTTGGTGTGGTTTATGGGTCGGTGGAATTCTCGCGCCATGATAACGGATTATTTGCTGCCTGAAATTGAAGCCCGTAATCTCGATGACATTTGGTTCCAACAAGACGGCGCCACTTGGCACACAGCCCGTGCAAACCATGGCTTTATTGCGAAAACATTTCGATGAACACTTATTTTCACGATTTGGACCAGTGAATTGGCCACCTAGATCATGTGATATCACACCTCTAGACTTTTTCCTTTGGGGCTACGTTAAGTCCAAAGTCTACATTGATAAGCCCAATACGATTGAGGAATTAGAAGCCAACATTACGCAGGTCATTCGCCAAATTCCAGTCGAAATGCTCCAACGTGTCATCGAAAATTGGAACTTTAGAATGGACCATCTCAACCGCAGTCAGGGCCAACATTTGAAAGAAATTATATTTGAAAAATAAATGTCAAAAATAGTTCTTTTCTTTAATAAAAAAAGATTTGACAAGAAAAAAGAATTTTGTTATTTTATTTTGTTGCTGGAAAAAGTACCTATAAATGAATCACCCATTATAATAATACCTAATCGACAAAAAACATAAGTATAATTTTAGTGAACAACAAATAAAAAATCAAACTAATTCTCTAATATTCAGTCTCCTCTCAACAGGCTTAATTCGTGTTAGGATGGGGTAAAGTTCACTCTCAAATCAAGTAATGAAACACTAAATGAGATTTTGTTAAGGAGCTCAGGACAGCATCTGGCCATTTAAAAGTTTAAACATAAACAAAAATGTTAATACCCCTTTGACGTAAACTCTTCAAGTTCAATATATTCAGTGCATCATCATATACGAGTACGTATATGGTCATCAGTAATTCTTATATGAAGCTTGTAAAGAGAAAACTAATAACTATATTCTGCACTCTACCAACGGCTAGACAATGCATATAATATGGAGTCCAGATCATTGATCCATATTCCAACAAAGGTACCAAAATATCCCAAAATTTGGAAAGAGTTTATTATATTGGGACCTCGGTTGGCCGCGTGGGTCAGAGTGTCGTGCTACTGATCAGCCGGCCGGCCGGGCCGCGAGTTCGAATCTCGCCTTCGCCATGGATGTTGTGTGTTTGTTTTAGACAGCAGCGGTGGCCGCAGTAGTAGACCTTCGGTCTCCTGATCAGTCGCCGTGCGCTGTACTGGTTCGAGTCCCGTCCCAGGAGAAATTTTTCTCTTGGCTATGGATGTTGTGATTGTCCGTAGGTGGTAGATGGTCTCTGACTGTCGAACGCGGAGGTACCACCCGGCGGTTCTCGTAGGCGGAGCCAGAATGTGTGCATGTTGCATGCACACGTGTTCCCTCGCCAGAGTCCGTGTGGCGTCCCCCCTTTCCCATGTATCCCCCTATAGCCCCACGGTACCCAATGGGTGCTTAGACCTTAGGCCTTCGTGGTAGTTGGAGTATATAAAAAAAAAAATTAGGACGCGTTTAGTAGTGATTTCAGTAATGCACCGAACAACAAAATTGGATGTTATTGACAGCAATCTTGATTGCTGTAGGTAGGGTATACTTTCTCTTTGGTTTTTCTTTACCATTAAACTAAATAATATATCTGGAGAAAATCATGCAGTAAAATATAATAAAAGTGTATATAGGTGGATACAATGATAGATTTACATATCATTGTAAACATATATGTAAACCCAAAAACATCAATACGCTTCTCTAAAGCATTCTGTAAAATATCTAGTATGAAAATCGTACTCAAGTTATGAGCATAGTCCATAAAACAGCTATGTACAATTTCATGATTTTCATTTATTTAGATAGTAGTGGCCAATATTTTCAAATATTATAAGTTATATTTTTCAAATAAAACTAAAAAAATATCGAGATTTTATGGGTATACTGAATTGAAGGTGCACGCGCAGTGAGGGGAGGGAAAAATGAAGAGAAAAGCGACGAACTTCCACTAGGTTTTTTTAGATAAATTAAACAAGAACCCGCGCACTGCCACCGTCCCCGCAATCAACTTCGCTTCGTCTCAGCGTGCGTGCAGTTTAAAATCGAATATATTTTCATTACACTTGATGGCGGAAGAAATATGGATAGATGTTAATGTGCAACTGATAAGAGGTTATGGGTGATCAAACGGAAGTTTTTGAAATAAACAACAAATAAGAATGAATATACTCATTCAACTTAATATGGTAAATAATTCGAATTATATTATTCAAAGCAAAAACTTTACTAGCGTTTTGGCTGTATTTACGATCTTTATCAATGTATAAAATACATGGAAACGTTTTTTATTTGACTTTGACCAATACCTATAGTATTTGAAACGACCTTTGCTTTACTGGCTCTGCAACTTAGCAAGGATGTTACTACCCTGGGCCTGCCTTCAGATTTACGATCGGTCAAATGGTTTTGGAAATATCGGCCAACAACCGAAAATGTCGCATTTTGTTTTTTGTCAGTAAATCTGAAACGGTTAATTTGACAGCTCTCAAAATGTGACATTATTCGGACATTTTTTTAAGGCAAATAAGATAGCGTGTATGACATGTCTCAATCGTCTTTTGTTTTGCCGCAACCTGCATCAACTTTCATTTTTCTTATGGCCGCCATATTTAATTTTTCGATTTTTGTAAAGAGTGTAAAAATTTCAGCCTAGTGGTGTCTCACAAGTGCATAAAAGGTTGGAGTATCATCGAAATATCATCAGACGTAATGTTATTACATTTTTTCTCAGTAGGCTAGGATTTATTTGTCAGAAAATATTAATAAGTAACGCATTTTTTCATCTAAGGAGGCTTTGACTTTGACGTTAAATAATTCAAAGTATTAAAATTGTGTTTTAATAAGTAGTAGCCTCGAGCTGTCATTGGTAAGTTACAGAGCTAGCGGAAACTGATACACCTACGTAAATAATATACCCCTGGTACGTCGATATCACACACACGCCTTACAAAAGTGCTACGGGGATGTCATTTTCTATAAGATGCAATTTTATTTCAGGCATTTAGGGGGAGTCATTTACCATTTTCTTTTGTAGGCATCTTATAGATAGATAGTCTTACGTCTTACCGATTACGTATAATAAATCTGACACCCCCACACACAGGCTTAGCCTCCTGCCCACGTTCACTCTCCTAATCTCAACGCGACGTTGCCAACAGCAGCGACGCAAGCGCCCGCTCTACCCGTCAAAAGCGGAGCCACGTCGTACCATTCATTGGTTGTTGGGTCGTAGCTTTCGACTGTTGCCAGATAGTGACTGCCATCGTAACCGCCTACCGCGTACAGCTCGTCTCCAAAAACGCACGCTGCTACGGCGTCACGTTTGCTGGATAACGATGCTACGGTGGTCCACGAATCGATGCCTGACAAGATAAAAAGAGATATCAGAAACAATTATGTGTGAGTACTAAAGTCATTGGCATGCATACAAAGGGTACTATAAAAGTTCTGCAATATGTCTTAACAAACGGACGCAGGAGGCTGCATGTTACTGCATGTTGAGACATGTCCATGAGTGCATAGTAGCCGCCAGCAGCACGTCTACTGATCTGGTTGTTCATTCATATTGACAGCGTATGGCATCGTGGTCACGTGACATAAGGGCAGTTTTACGGTATAACTATAGCGCGTGGTTTAGGCATAGACCAGTGCTTAGAAGAAATGACGCTTGCGTTAAAGAATGATTGTCATCATCTTACGACTATATTCAGGTGGTACAGAAAATTCCAAAGGGACATTTTCACTCTGGAGGATGCTGAGAGGGAAGAAAGGCCGCGAACGTCAGTAACAGAGGAAAATATTACTGCTGTGAGGAAAATGCTTGACGAAGACCGAAGAGTGACATACCAACAGATAGAGGAGACCTTCATGCACTAGCAATTCATTCAATTCTGCATGACCATTTACATGTAAGGAAACTTTGTTCTCTTTGGATACCGCATAGTCTGACAGAAGAGCAGAAGACTCGTCGTACGACTTGGTGCCTAAAGATGCTGAAAATGTTTTGAAAGGGGCAATGGAGCTGTTAAATAATGATATTAAAAACGTAATAAATTGGTTAAATTTGAATAAACCTAAACTAAACACAAACAAAACAAAATATATGCTAATAGGAAAATCTTTGGACCAAAATACGATAAATCTTACAATTAATCATGAAAAAGTTGTGTCAATTCATTTAAATATTTGGGCATATACGTAGACAGTAAATTAAAATTTGAAGGGCACTATGAATATATTATTTCAAAAATATCCAAGAAAATAAATTACTTTTATAGAAGTTCGCAAAGCCTAAGCGTTTATTCTAAAAAAATTGTGTACAACACTATCATTCTTCCTCATTTGTTATATTGTTCGACTATTTTGTTCACTGCAAATGAAATAAAAATAAATATACTAGAATAAATTTTATGCTGAAAGAACTACAATGGTTAAATATCAAAAATTTCATAGCCTACTTGGTTTTCATTTTCATATTCAAGTTAAAAAATCATCTTCTACCAAATCACTTAGAAAATTTTATTGTTTTGAACAATGAGTGCTACAATTATTCTACTAGAGGAAGTATAGACTTTAATTTACAAAACTGCAAGTCAGTATTTCAAAAGGAATTGTACGAATTTAATAAATCAAGTAATGATATCAAGATGTGTGTCAGTTTGAAAATGTTCAAAGGGAAATTGAAAAAATATCTCATGGAAAACCAGAATTCATAGTAGTGATTTTTTTTTATAAAAATATGTAGTCTTGAAGACATAACATATTTTGTGATATAATGTCTAATATGGATATTATGGACATTGAAGCATTAATGCTAAATAAATCTAAAACAAACAAACAAATGAAGCTAAAGGGAAAACGGTTTTCTAGCAATGATCGATGAGGACCTTCTGAGGGCCTGGGAAAACGAGTGTGCCGCACTCACGGGTGAAACTTGGCAGAGCTGGTTTAAGGACTGGTTTTGGCGGCTGGAGTGTATGGGAATGTGGTGAAAATTACTTTGAACGAAGTCAATAAATAAAGCTGTATTGCAAAACTTTTATAGTACCCTTTATATTTGGATATTAACCTAGATGCGCCTAGTGCAGCTTGATATGGCTATGGCAAAGAAAAAATGGCGTCAAGTGGATTGACTCTGCACTTCCTGCGCAATGACGTCATCGGTTCATAAAGGATTAAGTTCAGCACATCATCTGAGAAAAAGGTCAGTGGACATGTACAACAGCGAAAATAAACGCATCAAGTCAAACAGGCTCACACAATTGAGTCCAAAGACGTTTTTTCCCTACCCTACTGGTAGTTACCGTTCATGCGGCATCGTCGTCCCTGTTCACATCTGCGCGGCCTCGCCGCAGCGAGTTACGTTTTGTTTCGTGAAAGGTCCTTGTATATTTTTTTGCACTTCAGTACGGATAGACATATAAGACACACTGGTGGTGAGCTTAGAGCTTAGATAGACAGGAGTACACGAATCGAAAATATTTCTCTATTATTCTAAGTTCTAAAGGCAACTGTATGGGTAAGCCTATGATGTGTGAAATATGGAGAATAGGTGCATAGAATTGACGGGTGGGAACGTATAGATACACTCATCTCAAACAAATTTCATACACTCAAACCCCACCCTCTCAATCTGTAACACCCAAATTTCAAGCCCTAGAAGAATTTTTCGGAAAATGATGAAGACTTTCCAAAATGTCAAAAAACGATTTCGATCTTTTTCATTCCTTTCCTTTTTCTCCGCCGCCTAAGGACTGATTTTCTAAAACTTAGGCATAGTAGTTACCTTGTATGGAAATTTCATCAAAATCCAACAGGTACTTACCAAATTACAGCGGGATCAAGGACAGACACACCGACGGTAATGAAGAACATGATTTTCGTGATGTATATGTGTGTTCCTTTGACAAGTCTAGACCATATAGGTATGGATCAGAAAGTTTTACTTTATCCTACTGACATTTAGGAATTGCAAATGGTATTAAGATCTATCAAAGATAAAGAATCATCAGGCTTTGATGAAATTTCTTTAAATGTTATAGCTTAACAGAGGTCCAAGCGATTTACTAGAAAATTAAAGACTAATTTAATTACTGTTATAGCAAAAATAATAAAAAATATAGTTCAAATTAGATTAAGACTTTCAAAAACCAACAAAATTATAGGTGACAACCAATTTGGATTTAAAAAACAAAAAAATACCATGGATGCTATTTTCACATTACTCCAACAAGTTATACTCAAATCTAAACAATAAATAAAGCAGCTCTTTTTGCGACTTTTCCAATGCTTTTGACTGTGCAAATCATGATATACTATTAAAAAATTAAACAAATATGGTTGTACTGAAGCTTCACTCAATTGGTTTAAAACATATTTATATAATCAATCAGAAATTGTAAAATTATCAAGATATTTTATTTCAAATAAATTAAATATAAACGCAGGGGTACCTCAAGGATCAGTATTAGATCCGATCCTATTCCTAGGATATATCAACGATAACTTAAGCATCAATGTTAAATTCGTAGTTTTTGCCGATGATACCACAATACTTTACAAGACAAGGAAATATATGAAATTAAGGCAAAAATTGATAGTCATATACTATCAATCAAAAAATGGTGTGGCAACAATTACTTGACTTTTAACACTAATAAGACAGTATTTATCAGATTTAAATGCTCCCTTATAAATTTAAATATTGAATTGATACACAAAACAAACACCCTAAAATTTTTGGGACTGACCACTGATCATAAACTAGATTTTACTAATCACGTAGATAAATTGCTTACTCAACTATCAAAGATTTCCTTCATTATAAGAATAATTAGTTACAACGTAGCATTCCTTCTTGGTGTGTCTGTTCCCAAAATTGTTTAAAAAATGTGCTTGTTCTACAAAAACGGACTATTAGATATATAACTAAAAGCAATCCTTGTGTTACATGCAGGCCCTTTTGGTGAATCTAAAAATGATGACTACCATATCATTGTTCATTTTAAAAACAGCAACATTCAATTTTAAAAATAAATCTAAATTTGAAACAAAATATTTTGTTTGTCGACTATGTTACCTTTCACTGTCGTTTAAGAACCATTTCAACAACAATCTCGCCGACTTAGTAAGTAATTATTTTCCTCCTAATTGTTTATTGTTGCTAATTTTTCAAAAACTGTTTTTTAGCTCCAGACGATGATGGCATAGACCATCGAAAGCCATAGTTCAAGTTGTAAGAGTGTATACTTATGCAAAACTTTTCCTTCAACCCAAAGAAATTTAAGGATATATATATATATATATATATATATATATATATATATATATATATATATATATATATATTACTATTATAATTATATTATAGTTTATTTTAAAGTAAGCTTTGTTATTAAGAATGATTGTGGTCTTCAGAATAAAGCAGTTTTCTAAATATCTATGAAATCTAAAAAATATAATTTCGATTGCAATATCTCCTGCTCAGTGGCGTAGGAAGTGAAACAAAATTGTTTGACGATGATTGAGTTTTTTTGCTTAATTCGAGAGCAGCGCGAGACAATCAAATCAATCACCAGAATATACTCACTAGGATCGTATCTTTCCACACAATCAAACCGGGAAGCAGCGGGATTATTGGCAGGAGCATCTTGTCCACCAATAGCGTATAAGTAGCCATAAGCTACAGCAACGCCTACTCCACCACGCCTTCTTGTTAATGGGGGAACTTGAACCCACCTATTCGCATGGGGATCATACCTGTAGGAATATTCAGTTAAGCGATTAATTAGAACAAATTCATAATTAAGTGAGAACAAATAATGCAAAGGTCCATAGAAATGTTTCTTTTCTTTGAAATAAAACGTAATCATTTTTATAATAACCTTTCCACAGTTCTAAGACACGAAGCACCATCTCTGCCACCTACAGCGTACAGTTTATTATCAAGTACTACAACGCCAGCAGAACAACGTTGATTATGCATTGGAGCCACATAGTGCCAAGTACGGGTCTCAGGGTCCCACCTATAGAAAATAAGATAAAATTAAACTTTTTGTTTACAAAAATAATGAAAATCAAATTTACCTCTCAACTGTGTTAAGGTAGCTCCAACCATCATGTCCACCAACAGCATATAGAGTACCGCCTAATACTGCAACACCTAAACCATGCCTGTGAGTATTCATTGGAGCCAACTGCGACCATGTATTTGTTTCCAAATCTAAACATTCCATTGTGTTCAGAGTTTTCAAACCGTCCCTACCTCCAACTACAAGTAACCTATAAGAATAAATTGAAACGTCATTTTTTGCTTTGGAATGTAGTCTAATCGTATAAGCAAATTTCCCGGAAATAATTGTAAAGTCTGGTTTTATTAGTGCAGGTTGTTCAAGAGGGTATTTAAAACATGGACGCATAAAATGGGTACGCCAATTTTTGTGGGAAAACTTTTTATTTGACAACAAAGAATGAGTAAACCTGTTTTTTTGGATTCAGTCGAAAGTGTTGACAGAAACGAAAAAAATAATAGGTATAAGGTTTTTAGGTATTTATGAAACCTACTAAATGAGAGCACATGTAAAAAGATCCGACTAATAGCAAAAAAGTTATGGCCGAAAAACGAGGCAAAATGGCACTTGTTGGTAATCTGACGATAATTTCACGCAACTACTTGAAATTCTTCAAATCCGTAAGATTCATACTTCTAAATTACAATAACCAAATTGGAGTATATTGGCCAAGTAGTTTTTGGAGAATCCATAATTGTTTATCTCAAAACCCCTGTTTTCTGGCCATCACTACTAGTTTATTGAGCAATATACGTTCAAAGAACGTTTAATAACAAAGTACACGTGTTTACCTTGCCGATATGAATCACGGACCATTCCGAAAGATATATGTTATTTTGCTGCGAAAAACAAAGGTTGCGTTTTTTTCTTCTAAACAAATTCAAAAATTTCGTATTTGTGAGTAATTTAACAAATGCGCTACGATATTCGAAAAACATACATCTACACATTTTAAAACAAAGCGGATGTGACTATCATCTTTTCTTGCTAATTACTCCCAAATACGAAATGTTTGAATTTGTTTGGAAAAAGAAACGTAACCCATTCTTTTTTGCATAAAAATAACATTTATCTTCCGGAATAGTTCGAGATACATATCGGCAAGGTAAACTAGTATATTTTGCTATAAAATGCCCTTTGAACTAATCCTGTATATTGCTCAATAAACTAGTAGTACTTGATCAATCTACTCCAATGTTGTTGTGGTTATTTGGAAGTACGAACCCTACGAATTTGAAGAATTTCAAGTATCTGCGAGAAACCATCGTCGCATTACCAACAAGTGCCAAAACCTGCAGTTTGCCTCGGTTTTCGGACATAACTTTTTTGCTATTAGTCGGATCTTTTTACGTATAGTCTCATTTTGTAGGTCTCATAAATACCTAAAAATCTTATAGTTTTTCGTTCCTGCCAACACTTTCGATTGAATCCCAAAAAACACGTTTTCTCATTCTTTGTTGTCGAAAAAAAAGTTTTCCCACAAAAATTGGTGTACCCATTTTATGTGTCCATGTTTCAAATACCACCTTGAACAACTTGCAGCAGTAAACCCAGGCTTTACAATTATTTCGTAAACCAGGGGTATTTTCGTCTAATATGATTAGAGTAATTTTATAAAATATGATTAAGTATAGATCAGGCCCGATTCGTTTCTTTTAGTGGTTCGATTTCATGGTTTCGAATCCGCAGGGGTATTATGTAGATAACCTAAAAAACGTCAAAAAAATTGACAAAACGCCATCTTGCAGTCTAGGTAGTTTTTAGCGTGCAAATAGTTCATTCCACGTTTGCTCGCTATAATCGATTTGAGCGTCCATCAATAGAGGAATGACTCAACGACACGACTCGCTCAAGCATTCATTGTTGGTTGCAGGAAACGTGAAGATGAGTAGTGAGTAGTGTTTATCTCTAAGATGTGAAAGAAAGTTGATTGAGTAGCGAGATCGCATCTGGATGATTTGCGTATTGGTCTGCATGTGTCTGAAATCAGTGATATTTGCTACAGAACGAGTTCACAACAAGAGTAAAACAGCTAGTGCTAAGTTAACACGTAGAAAAACCTACGTTACGCCACAAAAAGCCTACAAAACATGAAAAAAACCGACAAAATGTCACTTTTCAATATACGTAATACCCGTATCGATCTCATGGACCGATTCCTTCTATTCGTTCAGTAGAATGAAAATTTTATGTGAACATCCAAATTCAGCATAGCGACGGTGAGCTGGCATTATCTCCTAACTGAAATTTGGGAAATTTACAGGACGATAGAAAAACGATATACAAGCCAAAATAAATATAGCTCACTACATTTCTTTCTTACATTTATATTAATAGAGTCAATTGGAATCAAATTTTCCACAATTACATCTAGAATATTTACCAAGTACTTTTGAATTGTAGATAGGATAATATCAAATATAAGTTTTTTCAAATAGGATATTTTGCATGAATTTTTATATCTAGATAGGAGGTATTCAATGAGAAACAACAGTCATTCATCTCAAACTTTAATGATATAATTATAGTAGTAAACGCATAAAAGCAAACAAAGTTATCTTCGTCGAGTCGCAATACCTACAGTATTGACAGACACTCCTCAATGATACAACAAGTTGTCATAAAATCCATGTGTATCCTTTGGTAGAACCGATTTGAGGTCTTGGAGGTGATCCCCCCATTTTTCATTCTTAATTTTGCAATGATCTTTTAACAGTTGAGGGTAGTCCTCAATGATAGGCACATTTTTGGGCCTGACAGGTATGTCTTGAAATGGTTCGTCATAAGATAACTTCACTTGAATAGCTGAATATGGTTCATATTCATATTTGATGCATTTTATGTCTAAAATGACAGGATCAAATGCTTTTTTTCCCGGCCTGATAGACGTATATCGTAAGAACTTGCTTTCAGCATAGTTTTTAAAAAAGCTGTGCTCTATAACATTCACGTCGTAAGGTTTTGGATGAACTCTACATTCCTTTGTAACTTTGGCGTAGTCACTTGGAAGATGTATTTCCCTATTTTTCAGCTTTCTTTCAATCAAGCTATGAACCGAGTCACATTCCATTTGAGTGTGACCCGGTTCCAAGTATTTCTGGTAAATTTTCACCTGATGTTTAGCGGAAAAATTGAGCAATGCATTTGACAATACGTTATTTCTATTTTGAAAGCTACATCCGTCGGAATAAATTATTATGGGCAATTTAGACGAGGTTAGGCATTTATTTTCCAGGAAGTCAATGATGCATGATGTGAATGTGGATGCAACCAATTGGTTATTTTGGTCTTCAGAAAACCAATAACACGTCACATCTTTACTAGCAAGATTGTAGATGGTGAAGTTGTGGCAACACAGCTTTGTCTTGAAATAGGTTTTGTTTGCAGGGAGACAAGGTGATAATTTGACAGCTTGTAAGTCCATGCTCAACACAATACATGAGCCGTTCTCTGCCAGATCTTTATCCTTTGCCTTCTCCTGCCTTGCTCTATTTTTGTTTGCAATGTGAATTCTATATTTTTCTTCATCAGTGTTATTATACTTATATGGAAAACAAACATTGCATTGGTCCTTTTTAGGCTGGAACAGTGAAAGATTTTTTTCGTTAAAAGTTTTTCCGAATATTTTTCGGTTAAGTGGCTTCATATCTTCTATTTCCCCATTTCCCTTGCAAAAGTCTTCATATACTTTGTAAAGATCGCTCATTGTATGGAACGTTTCCTCTAGGTATAATTTTGTAGTCTCCTTTCTACAATAGTGAGCAGGCAATTTTGGTAGTTTATTTAAAAACATCCTTAAATGGTCATATTGCTTGGAGTATCGTGCTTTATTATAGCTCAATCTATCTTTTTGTACTATATCTGTGCCCATGCCATAAGAACTCTTAGAAACCCACTCTTGAATTGTCTTATATCCTATATCTAATGTATTGACAAACATTTTCCTACATACTTGAAGCTGTTCTTCCCCATTGTTTAAAAAATATGTATAGGTACTTTGTCTTCTTGATGTTTCTTCACCTCTAGCCTTTTTTCCTCTAAAGACATTTGAGGATATAAACACTTTTCTTTGTGCCCAGTTCATTTCATTCCAGAATTTTTTGAATATATTTTTTCTGGTTTCCTCTTTGAACTTGAAACAGTTCTTATTTTTGCTCTTGTTACATCTTGCTGAGTTACAAGCCATTCCTATCTCTCTTTCTCTTCTGATTGTATCGTGTACTATTTTTTCGCCTTTCTTTTTCCTATAACCCAAGTATTCTTTACCTTCCATTCTAAGTTGCTTATTTTTCAAACGTTTCCATTCAGCTGGATCTGCTATCTTCTTTGTTTTTCTGGTCTCGTTCATCTTCTCAATATCTGCTAGCAAACGATCTTCGGCTAGTTCTCCCGGTTCAGAATTACTATAATCAATTTCATTTCTATCTTTCAACACATCTTCATTTACTGGTTCAGCATGTGGAGAATCACTATCACTGAGCTCATCGCTTTCTATTTCATATGGCACCAGACTGACACCACCTAGAAAATTGGAAAAAAGGACATCAAGCTCATGGACCTTAACCGTAAGCGTCAGTTACCGAGATATGAAAAGCTTCACAAAAAACTGTTATAAAGCAGAAATAACCCAAAGCACACTTAGAGTTCTGTTTGTAATTAATCAGTTTTATAGAAAGATGAAACTCATAATTCAAAAACCAAGAATATAATTAAACTGAAATTTTGACACTCGGCGACATGCCAATGTCAAGGAAAAGTTTTACTTTAATAGTTGCATTTCAACTAGAACACAAAACAGCAAACGATGTGTCTGAAATTACCTTTGAGGATGCTTTGATTCTCTGAGCAAGCTGTACTGAGCTTATAGTTCGTATTGATGTAAACAGATGGACAGACATTTTGACGGCAGTTGACATCTGGTACATCGAAGTTGATAAAATTCATTTCTTGGATATCTGAGTTTTGGGGTATATCCTCGGTTATATCCATACAGACACTTTGATTACTGGATGCTAAAGAATCTTGACTTCCGCGGCAAGCTTGGAAGAACATTCTTTCTGAATCTTAAAAAATCGGGATGTCATCACTTGGGCTGCTCAAGCAGTTTTCAAAATCTAGAGATAGTACATTTCCATCTATTAAGTCAGACGGCATTATAATCGGAATATTTTCGATATCAAACACGTGCTCGTTTGGATCTTGATCTGCTTTATTAAGACTTGTATCCATATTTTCAAGACTAACTTCAAAATTTCTATTTTCATGTTCCTGATTGACTAAGGCCAATATTTTTCTTCCTCGGGAAGTCATGGCAATATCTCCTATTAGCGTCCTTTACGTATTCCTGCCAAATTTTCGCACCAAGTAAAATCTCCCACTAGAACAATACACAAATAACGTCACTCAACCATTTAATAAAAGGGTAATCTTATAGCATATAGTCACAAAATACTTCGTTTAGTTATAGTTTCATAAGCAACAATAAAACCTACCTTGTGATGATAATGAATCAGTGAATAGACGGCTGGTATACAAGTCACGACGTGAACCGTATCATCACCCATTCATAACTGCGTCATAGGAGGTATTGCAATCCTTTTTTCCTAGACCATTTAGGTGGGAGAAATTTCAAGACTAAATATCGCGCTAAACTGTTGTTCTATGCTGAAAACTGCGCTTACGAGACATGCCTAGCATAGATTGCGATAGGAAGTCACAAAAATCTCATTTTGGCAAAAAAAATCAGATAGAAGGTATTGCCAGCTCACCGTCGATAGGGTCTGGTATCTTCATGGAGAATACGTTACCAATGATTACACCCACTTGCATACTTTTAGTATGCTGTACAAATGAATCTGAGTGTTTGACATGGATAAAAATCAACTTACTTGTCTTTCATTAAAGCAATCCCAAACTGCAACCTTCTTCCTTCCATCGTATGCGCCACTGACCATGAATCGGTCCGAGGATCATAGCTTTCGATGGTCGTGGCCCCCTTAAATTTGTCCATACCCCCGACTACTAAAAGACGGCCCAAAGTAGCCTTCCGTGGCCTAGTACGCGCAGAGGCCATGCGGACTCTACGTTCAGGTAACAGGTGCCATTTGGTAGCATCCAGTACCAATTTCTGACACACTGGATCGCCTTTAGAAAAAATATGATGGATTTATTATACAGGGTCTTCATTTGAAAGCTTCCCACCACGGATTTATCGAAAACCACTGTTAAAAAGAAAAAACGCCGAGATACGTCAAAAGATTTGTCAAGGTAGCAGTAATAGTAGTAGAAAGATTTATTTAGCACGTTTGGCTACATAAACAGAATAATTGTAAACAACTTAGAATTAGTAAATTCAAGCCATATGATGTATGATGTAAATGCTGGGCAAGCTATAATTGTAGATTTAACAAGTGATTCCTCAATTTTACTTCAAATTTGGTCAAAGTTTTCTGGTCTTTTATCTCTGTGTATAATTTATTATATTCAATCAAGCCTTGATGGAATTCAGATTTGTAGCATATGTTATACTTTTTGGTCATTAAATGGAAGTCATCTTTATTTCTGGTATTATGTAAATGATGGTCGGCTTTTGATGATGTTAAATTAGTTAGACTTGATGGAAATATATTATTTTTTACTTTATAAATGAATATCATTACAAGATATTTGATAAAAAAATTTACAATGAACCATTTTAATTTGCTAAGCATTTATCTAACTGGAGTATATTTATCTTTATTCAGTATTATTCTCATGCACTTATTTTGTAAAATTTGCAGTCTTTCAAAAATAGAATTATTTGCTAAATATAGAATAGTCGAACAGTACAAGAAATTTGGAAGATTGCTGGTATTACAGATAATTTTTCTGCTATATGAACTCAGACATCCTGAAACTCTTGATAAATACACCACTTTACTACTAATCTTATTTATAACTTTTTCATAATGAATATAAGAAATTAATCGAGAGTCAACAAAAACCCCCAGGTATCTAAAATTTTCTATGAATTCAATATCATCACCATCAATATTCAGTTAAACATTTGTACATTGCTTTTTTCCGATTAACATTGCTTTCGTTTTACTTGTATTTAATTTGAGTCTGTTATATGCTAACCATTTTGAGACCAGTTTCAAATCTTCATTTATATAAGAGATACCAGTCTGAATATTTTTAGTACTTATATAAATCATAGTGTAATCGGTGAAAATCTGAATTTTGCATTTTTTGACTATAGCAGTTAAATCGTTTATGTATAAAATAAAAAGAAGTGGTCCCAGGATACTGCTCTGTGAAACACCCAACGTATTTTCAATTTTTGATGAAATAGTGTCATTAACTTTTGTAACTTGGATCCTTTTAGACAAATAATTTCTAAACCAATTTAAAACACTTCCTGATATACCATATGCCTTTAATTTACCTAACAAAATATCTCTATCAATCGTTTCAAATGCCCTCTTCAAATCCAAAAATACTGCTGTGATAATTTCTTCTGAGTCTATGGCTCTTCTCCAGTTCTCAGTGACCAACTCAGTGATAAACTGCATTAATTGGTCATGTACTATGGACTCTAATAATTTTTCAATGTCTGGTAACACATTTACTGGTCTCATATCGCTGCATATTTTGGAATTTTTTATTTTGAGAACCGGTGTTATTGTAGAGCATTTCAAAGTTTCAGGAAAAGAACTGCTCCTCAGTGAACAATTGATCTAATTTAATACAGGATGTCCCAAAATTTTTAAACAGTTTTTCAGCATGTTTTTAGTAGTGATTTCAGCACAGTTGTTGTTTGATTTTAAACTTTTTACTTTTTTTTCTCAGATAATTCAATGATACGCTATGAAATTTTGAAAGTGTATGCAACACTTCCTCCTGGAAACTGATTTTCATATAGTCAGGTGCAGCATTGACAGTACCCACAATATCACCATTACTTTCCACAAAATATTCATTTATTTTGTTTACAATCACCAAAGAATTTGTTTCGGTACCGTTTTCGAATTGAACTTGATTTACACAATCATGCGGCTTCGAATTGATCAGTCTTTTTAAAGTTTTCCACATCTTTATATTGTCGCACTTGTTATTATCGATTTGTTTATGGTAGGATTTTCTTTTTCTCTAATTACATAACACACATTTATTCCTAAGAGTTTTATATACCTCTCAATCATCATTTGATTTTTTGAATATACATTTTTTGTATTGTTAGTCTCTCAAATTTTGAGCTGCCTTAATATTTTTGTTATACCAGGCTGTATTATTGTCGAGAAAATCACTTTTTTATCAGTTGCAAGATCTAAACAAGTTTTTATATTTCCTATTATGTTGTCGTATATTTTCTCGTTCAAGATTTTTGTAGTTAATAGTATTCACGATTTTCTTAATTTCTGTATCAGAAAAATGTCCTACCAAGGGCAGCATTGTCCAACTGTGATCACTAACTTTAGGTGTATGTACAGCTTTAATCTCTACACATTTGAAATTTACAAGAACAAGATCTAACACCTGAAAATTTAGATGTACTTCGTCAACGCATCATCGAAAGCTGCCACGTTATCCCACATGTTTTTGAAAATGTCCGTCAGGAAGTTGAATATCGTCTGTATCATTATTTGGCCAAAAACGGGCAATATTTTGAACACTTTGAACAAATTAAGATAAAGGTTGGTCTAATTTTCTTAGAAACGAATCGACCGATTTTAAAAAACCAAACGTCAAAATAAAGGACATCGATACCCCTTATTTTTGGTTAAAAGGTTGTCCCCCTTTTGAATCTTTTGAATGTCTCGGCGTTTTTTTTTTAATCAGTGGTTTCCGATAAATGCGTGGTGGGATGTTTTCAAATGAATACCCTCAATATGTTACATTACAAAACTGAGCTTTTATGGTTGGTTATGTTCGCAGAGACGGAAAGCAAACAGATTCTGTTCAGCTTATTCTGTCAGATAAAATAAAACAATCTAATGAACTTGTATCACGCAGTCAGTTTAATTGCAAATGAAGAAAAATGCTATCATCAGTTCATAAAGGATTATGTTCGGCACGAGTTAAAAATCTGAGAAAAAAGTAAGTTATGAATACATATAAAGAAAAAATAAATAGATCAAGTCAGTCAAACAGTCCCAACCATATCCCGCTGCTCGCCAATCGCCAGCCTCAGCACATGAGCCACCTCCGACTACGAAACAGAGACACTCACTGGTGAAACGGCGACGTAAATATACACAAAGTCATGTTGTTGAAAATATACTAAGTGACATATAAAATGCTTCATTCATAATTATTTATTGAATTTTGATAAAAACTTATAAGCATATTTGCTATCATGGAAGTATACTCTGATAAAATGTTGACCGCCTTCGGAGCCATACCTAAGTAAAGGCTTCTTTTGTCATATCAGGATCCGAACAATATGAACATGTTTACTTAATATTCAGTGATTTTTCTGTGTCGGTTACATTTGTTTTATTGTTGCTTCATTGCATTATAACGACTAGAGTTCACAGATGCACTAAATTCACTGAACTTGACAGTTTTTTCTATATATTTTAAATTGCAATATTTCCGCAAAGAAAAACAATAATTTTAAATCGCTTTAAAATAATCTCAAAATACCAATCAGGGTCTTGTGAAGCAAGATTTAAACTTTAATTTAGATACTTGGCGACCCCAAAAACTGTTTAACCGAGTTTGTAAGCATTGAATATAACCATTTTTAGTAGGGCCTTACAGACATTGCATCGCTAATAATTCGAAAATCGTCAGCGTTAAAGAAAAGTTAGTGGCAGCCTTTTTTGTTCGAAATGATCCAAAAAACCTGAAATTATTATCTGGAGATCCACGAATAATAACCATCTAACTTCTTTACAAGTAATACAAAAACTATTCATAAAAACAATTCATAATAAACGTTTACTATATCCCTGCAAATCACTGTTTATAGATTCAAAACTTTTAAATATAAAAAAAATATTTTGGTATAATGTTATACTAGGATTCCATAAAAACAAACATTCGACCATTTATAAAAATTATGAATATGATACTAGAAATAAAAATAAACCAATAAATATTGCAACACCAAAAAAAGAAATAATGTTGAAATCTTCTATATACTTAGGTTCAAAATTATATCATAGCTTACCAAAATATATTAGAAAAAAACGAATATCATTATTAAAAATAGATGTATACGAGTGGCTTTTGAAAACTGTTATAAACATTTAATTTATAAAAAACTAACACATATACTTTCTTGATTGTTAGTCCACGATCCAAAATTAATGTAACACTTATATAGATTATTTTTTTTTAGTAAGTTATACTATGCATGTTGTATTGGCAACAATTCCTATTGTGGCATATTCATTTGTTCACAATGTGTAATTGATGTGAAGAAATTATCATTATTATTACTCTGACCGCGCTACTGCGGTGATACATCAACCCGAGTTAAGTTAGGTAGCAGGTAGAGGCGACATTTCCAGAGCTGTAGGGCAGGGAAAGAATGTCTATGGACAAATTGTATGCTCCTGTTTGACTCACTTTTTTCAGAAGGGCGTTGCGTGAGAAGTGCAGAGTGACATGATAATCCATGTTATTATTTAACCAGTTCCAAAGCTGCACAAATGCTTACCCTCAATGACAGGTTCAATAAAATCAGCTAGAAAAGAAGGAGAAAGCAGTGGAAGTTTAACAAAGCCCAACAGGTGGCCAATATACTTCTTTCTTCTAGCTGAGTCATGTTGAATCCAACTCATTAGAGCAAGAAATACTTGCTCTTCACTGGTCACATTTAAATCATCACTTATCAAGAGATTGCTCAGTTGGCTGACTTTCAATTGCAGAAATTCCTGGTTTTTAATCACCTGAAAATATTGTTAAACACAAGGTTTGTGAAGATCCCCAACCAAAATTCAATTATCAGTTTGAAGTATTGAGGAAAATGGAAAACTGCAAAAATAAAACAATATTTTTTCCATAGTCCATAACATCAAAGAGATGCTTATTTTGGTTCAAAAGTTCAGAGGATATTTATTGATCTAACTTTTATCTTATCTAGGAGAATAGAGATGCTGATTATAACATTTGTATCACAAAAGTGTATCTGTATAATGCTTTTGTTTCCATATACATGAAACATTTCATAATTAAAACATCTTAAAATATACAAAAACAAAGAACTAAGAATTAGTCGGAATTAAGAGTGAGGCAATTAGTATCAGTTACTGTATTCCAAAATAAATTGTAAAATATTATACTTTCATTCCATGAATGACTTACTTGCAAGAAATGCTGACTAGTGTAAGCATTAGCCTCCTGAAGTAATTTTGTACAAGCCTGATGTTCAGCAAATACTGCAATTCCTAAACAGTTGCTAGGGTGCAACTGATGAGCTAAAAATCTATAAGAAAAACGTAATCACATGGGAAATTTAGGAATTTCTTCCTTGCAATATAAAAATAGATTCAATACCTTGAGCATGCCTCAACTACCTCATGCAAAAGCATGAGACAGGCTGTTGATAGCAGTATCTCTACATTATCCTCTCTGATTTCAATTGTACCAGTATAGCAATAGTTCACAACTGCCTGTAGCACATCACCATTTACATCACCCAGAGTTATTTCAGTTTCTTCATTGCTCAAAGCACCAGTGAACATTGTTGAAAAGTACTCACTTGCTGCAGACAACACCAACCTAAAAGTATCATTTCAATATTACCTTTAAAATATTATATAATACTGTACTCTTACGGAGAAGTCAAACCTTGAGAAAAATACATTATTCAGAGTGCTGGTGGCGCAAAGCATGAATTCAAGTGAGAAAAGTGAGATTTAAAAAAGTAGTGAGAAATCGTGAGTTTATACATAAAAAGGGGGTTAATTTTATGAGAAATTGAATATTATCATCATGCCCAATTTAAACGAACATTATAAATAAGGTGTGATCAATACGAGAATAGCTCCGACAAGGTCTTTGTTACTGTTTTATTGAACTTTGTTTATTCTGTTTCTCTGACGCTTTTTCATCTGATGCCCATATCATATGTAAACTACAAATCGCCAAATTGCGATCTCCATCATACTGGATTTAGAATGACATCAGTTTGCTTATTGTGTTTCTTTAATCAAGCTCCCATATAATACTATGGAAATTGGTTAAGGTTAATTGATTCAAAATTCAGTTTAAAGATTTGTCCCACCTGTGCATACTAACGAAGTAATATACTAACAGTTACTTGTAAAAAGCTTGTAGAAATTGACACTATAATGCAATTTATATTGAAAGCTAGCTCAAATTAAGCTAGGAGAAAATGAAAACGATTCAAGGTAAGTTCGTATTTTTAGCCTGTCTCTGTGAGAAGACGTCTATGTGAAGTTGGGTTGTTTGGAAGAGTTGTTGTCAAAAAACCGTTACTGTCTTAAAAAGAATCGAAAAGCCAGACTTCAGTGTGCTCAGAGACATTTAAATTGGACACCTAAAAACTAGGGTACAGTGCTTTAGAGTGCCGAAAGAAAATTTAAAATATTTGGTGCTGATGGAAGATCGTTTGTAAGACGACCTGTCAGAAAAAAAATTGATATCAAGCAACAAAAGCCTACAGTAAAGCATGGTGGTGGCAGTGTTATGATCTGGCGGTGTTTTTCCATGTCTGGAACGGGCCCGATATTGAAAATAACTGGGAAAATGGATCGCTTTAAGTACCGCGACATATTACAGAATACTATGTTGCCTTATGCCGAAGAAGAACAAGATAACGACCCGAAACATTGATACCATTTAGTAAAAGAATGTTTTTTAAAGAAAAACGTTGATTTACTGGAATAGCCTTCCCAATCCCCCGACCTGAATCCAATTGAGCACCTTTGGGAGCACTTTAGAATTAGATGAATGGCGTAAGATTCCATTTGATGTGTTTCCAAATCTTGTCGATTCCATATCAAGAAGATGTAGGGAAGTCATTAAGGCGGAACGATTTTCAACAAAATACTGAACATTGCTTGTTTAATTTGTATGTTTAACTTTTTTTTCTTAATAAAAATATTCTTTCCATACTTTTGTCTAAGGACTAAGGGCTTTCTTTATTTATCATATATGAGACTGTTTTATTTTGTATTTTCATTTATTTCTAAAACTTTACTAAGTTAGGAGTGGATGTTTATTTTTTAGTATGTAATAAATTATTGATTAACAAATACTAAGAGTATACCAGAAATTTTGTGCGGGTTGAGAAAAGGAGGACAGCTCCTTCAAAAATGTTATAAACCACAATATGTTCAGCAAGAGCGAAAAGGGAATATTTTCAATAAAAAGTGGGAAGACACCAGCATCCCTGGATTATTGAATACTTACTACGGATGAACAACATTCTAAACAGAATATTAAAGTGTTTGACAATGTAGAAAAATAATACTGAATTTATGACACAATACATAAGTATTTTTAGTCCAATTGATATGGTTTCAACTGAGTGATAGATGAAAAATGATTGTAACTTCTGATCAATTTCTCATCATCAAGAAATTTTTGGTTGTCAGAGAGGGCCGTAGGACTTTATCCCTTATGTTTAAGTATTGGTTTGTAAGTTTGTCAAGTCTGGTAATCTAGAAACCAAACATTGTAAAGGAAAGAAGTGGAAGTGGGTAGGAAAAGATAACGTATAATATTATTGAAAAAATTTGAAAATAAAATATTGGTATAAATCGACAAAGCTGTAAGTATCAATTCAAATACCTGTGTGCCTGCACCCTTTTCCCATTTTGTCCAGCAATGAGTGTGATATCACAAAGTTTTCCTGCTTGTAAGTAGTTTTTCATACATGAAAGGCTATGTTCTGCATGTCCTTCACAACGAAAGTGCTCATCTTGCGAGGAATTTGTTGAACCAGATGAAAATAATGATAGCTTGCTAAAGTCTCTAGTCAAATTATTGTCACTTCCTACAAGAAGGATTTAGACATTAAAAACTTTGATTCGTTCTAGTGGAACCAGAAGAATATGATTAAAATTATCTCTATGATTAATCTGAAGTTAATATCAAAATCTTCTTAACGGAAGTAAAAAAGCATCATAAGAGATTCCCTGCAAAAATTTAAGAGAGACTAGTGGGTGAAGTTAACAAATTGAATGATGGAAACTATTACTCAAAAACTAATGTCCAAAGCTCTACAAATACTTGTCGTATGGAGCCTTACCTACAAAACTGGTACTTCCAGAGTCCTTGCTAGGGCTGGCAATACTTCCTGTTGCTGACATTTTAAAAATAAACCGCTAGTCCTTGAATATATTGTGTGGAAATAAGTAGAAATAATTACTGGGTACGTTGTATGTAGAATCTCATAGATCAGTAATTTTTTTCTATATAATATTTCACAAAGCTCTTTGTTTTTGTCGGGTGGCTCTTTAAATTCGTGGAACGTTTATTGTTCTACATTTATTTTCACGGATTATCTTACAAAGCTGCTCCCCATCGACATTTGCTTGCCACTACACATTTAAAATATTATAAAAACAGGAAAAATCCACCAAGACAACAAAAACTTGACGATTTTTGGTTGCTGTCACGGTTGCCGTTTTAAAAATATTTACATTTGTTGCACTTTTGCAGATCTGTCCTGTATCAAAATAAGCTAAAGTGCCAGTAGAAAAGAGGGCGGGACCCAGCGATCAGACGACACCACATGACTAGTTTTCCAATGGCTATCTTTCTGAGGCTTAACACATCGACAGGGTCGTACTAAGCTGATATAGCCGATGAAAAAGTTTTGCAGAAATTGCTCTCTATTTGTTGGAACTTTTGAGCAATTATATCCTAGAGCCTCCCAAAATTCATTATAAAAACTGCAAGAAAACTAGGAAGATCCAAACGAGGTACCTTACGATGAAATGAAATAATAAATCAAGCTGCGTGTAAAACGTGTCAACATTTCTTTATTCAAAAGATCTACGTATAGCAATTTGTATCGAATATGACATGGATCAACCGGCCGCCAAAGCTTCGTACAGTTGCACTGATTTAAAAGGTCCAATTTGAGCGATGGTGTGTTTTTTGGTAGGGGAACTGAAGGCATAACGGACCCTGCAGGCAAAACGGAACATTACTATATTTTCGCTATTACTGGCGACATCTCTCCGTAGTTTTGGTAGTTAGCGCCCGATTACGTGAGCTTTAGCGGACAGTCAGCCATTTTCTAAGAAACAGTGAACAGGTGTTTTTGCCCATTTTTAGTATTGCACTTCTTTTATACTTGGTTATATTTAAATTAGTTTAATTCATAACAGGAATCATTCATGTTTGAGGTTTGAATCACATCCTCTGTTTGTTTACTTTTAGCCTTACCCTACATTTTTAATATTTTGTCTTTCACAACAAAAATTAATTTAATAGTTTGTATCATTTTAATTTTACAGATGGTCAGTACCTACAAAAGAAAAACACAGCGGCAAACCATACAAATGGTTTATACAGGGTGTCCGCTAAGTTGGGGTTTTCCTTTACACGACGTGTAGATCTTGAAAACATAAGCAATTTTTCTTAGTACCATATACACCAATGTCTTACGGGAACCGAGATAAAGGGCTCTTCAACATCAAAAATACAGGGTGACTTCGAAGTTGAGTCATTTATTTTAACAGTGAGTAGATCTGATCAAAAGAAATGTTTTTTTCCTTTACCATTTTTCTAGTAAAATTAAAGTAACAAAGTTATAGCCCTTTGGAAGTTTGAGTACTGCCCTGTCTCAATAATAATATGTTCGTGTTTGGCGACAACGGATATAATCCGCCTGACCGGTTCATCGCATCGGAAACAAAAAAGCGAAAGAATTTGAAACGTTTATCACGATGTTTTTCGTCAGTCGATAACGCGTTAGTGAAAAGTAGTGTTTGTTGCGTGGCTCAAACGAAATCAAAAATGGCACATGTTTACGAAAATGCTGAACTTGTGGACATGATTCTTATTTACGGGGGGGCAGTCTTTACAAAAGGCTCCCGGATGCATCACGGATTTATGCGAATCGGTTTCCCAATCGAGTGCAACCAACCCCTCGTGCCTTTGTTAATGTAGTACAAAGGCTCGTGAATCAGGTGACTTAAGACCTCACAAGTCAGGGCATGCTGCTCCAAGACCGCACGATCAAATACAGGTCCGCACTGAAATACTTGTCGGGACGATACTTTATTAAACAAGGTAACATTTTTTTTTATTTATTTTTTTATTTTTACACACATATTTTGGATTATCTTCCTTCTACAATCATTATCTGAAAATTAATGACTCAACTTCAAAGTCACCCTGTATATTAATACCGTCCTGTAGCCGTGAATCGCGACATCCCCAACTGGTAATAGGACACTAGCTCAACCCGACGACAGAACTGGGTCGGGGGTCGGGGTCAGTGTGTCAGGTCAGTATGCAATCTTCAACCGACGGTTACGGTCACGCGTGTAGAGGTAAACGAACCCGTATAATCGATTGCGTTTCAAAAAACAACAAGCAGTGGAGACGTGGCTAGAGAAGTGCAAGTATCAAAAACTAAAGTGTGGCAAACGCTGCGTGAAGAGGGGCTGTATCCGTTTCACGTCCAACATGTACAAGCCCTTTAACCTGACGATTTTCCAGCAAGAGTGCGGTTTTGTGAGTGGTTGTTGCACCAACATGACAATAATCCGGACTTTTTGAAGTGCATATTGGTGACAGACGAATCTACGTTCACGCGTAATGGGGTGAATAACTTTCGCAACACTCATGTTTGGTCAGTAGAAAATCCGCACGCTGTCCGTCGGGCACATTTTCAACAAACATTTTCGGTGAATCTTTGGGCTGGCATGGTGAACGGTATGCTCATTGGACCATTTATTCTCCCAAATCGATTGGACGGGATGCAATACCTAGACTTTTTGCCTTCCTTGTTAGAAGATGTGCCATTAAGTGTAAGACAATCAATGTGGTTTCTGCACGATGGTCATATTTGTTACCTCTGTTCGTGGTCTACTGGTATGCACCACCGCCGGCTTCTGCTCGGTAGCGCATCAGCTGATTTCATTTTCTGTTGGAGCGGTATGATTTCGGGCAGAGACGTGCTTAGCCCTTCTCGGTCAACTGGAGAGTGAGTACTTTTTTCTTTATTTTTTTTACTTGGTCGCCCTCGTTTCACTACACATTACCTTTGTTATTTCAAGGGTAGTTGTTTCTGAAAAGGAAAATCCCAACTTTGCGGACACCCTGTATACAAGTAATGGGCTTACGAAAAGCTTGAGAAAGATATTCGGTTCCAAAAACAACCTTATAACGTCGAGTGGAATTATATGCACAATCTGAAAACATTGAAATTTCTACGGTTAAGAAACTGGGACGGTACATTAATGTATTTACCGAAGCGATTTAAGCCGGAGCTAATGAATAATGCTCCTCGAGGTTCATCTGCCGAATGTCATGAAAGTGGCTGAATACAGAAGGATATTTTCACAAAATGGTTTGAAAAGTTTATTATTTTGTCAAGGGCATCAAAGGACAACCCAGTCTTGCTATTATTGGATGGACATTCAAGTCACACTAACAACTTGGATTTCGTTAATTTAGCTGGCGAGAATGGTGTGCAAATCATTTCATTCCTTCCGCACTGTATGCATCGACTTCAGCCGATTTATGAAACCTTTCGGCATATTATTCAGACGATTCAAAGCACTGGTTACGAACAAATCCTGGACGAATTATAACCCAATTTCAAATTGCGGAGTTGGTAGGAAAAGCGTTTGAAAAAGCTGCTACAATTCCAACTGCGCATAATGCTTTTAGAGCAACTGGAATATGGCCTACAGATCCGGATATATTTACAGAAGCTGACTTTTTGCCTGCAGATACAACCAACATTGAAGTAAAGTTGCAAAATGAAACTGCTTTAGATTTACAAAATCAATTAGAAGAGGAAATAGATTTTAAACCACATCCTAGCTGCTCCACAACACCTTTACCAACACGATTTCCTGAGGCAATACCAGGCTGTTCTAAAAGACTTCACGAAACATCGGAGGAGAGTAGTGACGATGGCATACCACTGTCACGACTTCTTAAGCAAAAACAAAGCTCTAATAAAGAATCCAGCTTTCTTTAAAAATTATTCTTCTACCAAAAACAAAACAAATAAAAGATCATTCAGAAAAAGAGATAAGACGGCTATTTTAATATCATCGCCATACCTCAAAGAGCTTGAAATGGCACAAGCTAATGCGACCTCAGTGAAGCGTAAAATAAGTTTTGACCAAAATGTTTCAACAAAAAAGCCTAAATGCCAAAATACGAAAAAAAAATAAGCAAATTAAAAATGATGTTTAGTCTTCTGAAAATGCAGATGTTGAGTGTTTGTTTTGTCCACACTGGTTCTCAGAATCTACAGAAGGATGGATCCGATGCAGTTTATGTCAAGGCTGGGCACACTGTTCTTGTGCGCGAGTCAATGATGACGATGAAGAAGCTACGTTTATTTGTGATTTTTGTAAGGCCTAAAAACTTATCAGGATATGTATATACTATATATAATAATTATTTTAAGTTTTTGTTCATTTAGAGTAATATTTATTATTTTTTTATTTAAAAGGCATTGACCAATTTATTAAACATTGTCATAGTATTTTTATGTAGGCAAAATGACTCAATTGACTTCCAAATGATCCTATATAGTATAGTAAAAGTAAGAAATAAAGTTTTTTCTACTTTTTTGTAATATTAGTTAAGATATTTTTTAGATTTGAATGGTTTCCATGGGCCATTTATTTTTCCTTCTTCAGCGTACCATTTTACCTTCATATGAGGGCAAAATGGCACAATAGTGTTCGAAATGATTTTTGCTACATTTATGAAATAAATGTTAATATAAATAAATTTTCATTTATAATTCGGAAAGAACATATATTTTTTCTTGTACTGTTGATAATATATCGAAATAAACGATTTTCCTTAACTGGTCCATTATGCCTTCAGTTCCCCCATCGGTTTATTGTTCCGTGTTCAAAAAGTTGTTTGGGTTGATAGAGTGATAGTTGGCCCTTACCTTTGAGGAAACAATTTCTTTCTGCCAGAATTGGTATCTTGCGACCGCCAGATAATGGACATTCTGCATGGACCCATTACAGGTGAAGTTACTTCTCGCAGAGGTTTTGTGAATTGACGAGCAATCTGGTGCAATATGGCACCCTTAAAGTATCTGATTGGGTTTATTTTTTGGACTCGCAAGTGTTTGTCAAGAAAATTCAACTCTCAAATGACCTACTGAAAGTTAACATAAGCCACGTCATTACTCAAATTCAGATGGATTTGTGGGACAGTCATTATAAATTGATACCACGAATCGGTGCAGGGGGAGGCAGTTGACCCATGTCACGCAAACTTGTTTTTTTTGTCACTTCTACAAGATCGATTCGATTTCATTTCAAAACCGATAAACCCGTTAGTTTCGACAAGTAGTCAGTCGCAAGTCTTGATGATGTACACACAGGAGCAGATCCAGATCTTTGGATGGGGGGTAACTCTAGGACTCAAAGCACAAAATTCCTATGAGGCCCTTATACAGGATGTTTCAAATTCGATCCTCACCATTGGGTTCTTGGA